AAATCAGTGTCTACTAATTTGTTTACAAACTTAAACTTTTACTGTATAGATGGAAAAATGCTGAACATTGATCTTTCCTGTAAATCACTGAAGTATCATTTATAGTTATATAACCACTGTCTCTAGGAACTGCTTCTTGTCCATGTTAAAAGGAATTGACAAATTTCCTTAAACTTTGAGCAGTTTTTGCAGGCCAGGACGATTGGATCATATTCTATATTTCTGTTTTCTCTTGGGTCTGAAAATACTCAACAAATGTCACCTCATACGTTTATTTTATTGGTCTGGATCCAATAAGCTGCTTGATTGCAGGTGTATTTGGAATATTTTCTGGTTGAAACTCCCATTTCAATGATACTTCTACATCAGATTAAAGCAACATGATCTCAAGTATTGGGATGTATTGAATTTGCTCCGTGACCCCTAGTAAGTGATAAATAGGCATGAAGCAACACCATGCTTCATGGTGTACTGCAGCTTGAGTGCTTAGACTTCGTTTCATAAAAAAATTTGCAACAGTTTTATTTTATTTTTATTTTTTTTCAAAGCTTACCAAAAAAAAAAAAAAACAATTGAAGAGTCCTTTATACAATTTTGTACTAATGTAGTGTTTTTCTGCAATATTTAATCTTATTTTTGCAGTGCTCAAAGTTTCTTTGAACACTGTATTGCAGATCATAAATTGTGTGGTTGCCATTCTTGTTATTCCATTTCATTCTATTCAGGCCATAAGATGGAAGTTTCCCATTTTCCTCCATATCTTTCTTGTTTTGGTTCCTATTTAAAAAACCTTTGGAAACATTTTATCAAAGTTCAGGATTTTCTTAATTTCTCCTTTTTTTTTTATTAATGTTTTAATCAAATTCAACTGGTTCAACATAGCAGATGATTTATTTTATCCAGCATCCACTTAAACGAAGAGATACAATATATGATAGTTTTTACACAAGATTTATAACCTAACAAATGAATTACACAAATAAAAAGACACAATGCAATTATTTCATTTACATATAATCAGGTGGAAGATATAACTTTTGAGTCTTATGATATTATTACTTTATCACACACACTAGTTTATTATTTGGCTTGTAGAAATGAAATTTGCACCAAAAAAGGAATTGAGCTAATTATTATTTCAAACCTAACCAAATATAGACATCTGTATTCATATTACTGCACTGCTTGGTAAGAAATTACAATTTTTATACAAATTCTACCATATGTCTAAAGCATTTTATCACATAGCGAGGGTTCTTAGCACAATCACTGAAAGGTGTTCCATGAATTCAACACTTATTCATCAGCTACCAAGTCTCTTTGTGCTGAATATGATACACAGAGTCCAAACATCTTGTCTTAATACCTTGTCTGCAGAGACAGGTCTGTGTGTGTTTCAGCACCACAACAGAGAAGCTTCAGTACATGCTGTCTAAGTGAGTCCCAGCAGCTTCACTATAATTGGTGTGAAGAAAAGTGTTGTGTGATGCATCAATACTTAGTAGCATTAATCTTTGGGGCTCTTTACAGGCAGAAAAAGTGAAGGTCAGCTGCTTTATGTAAGCTCCTCGTTAGGCCCATATGAACAAATCCTACATCTTTTGAATCTGAGTGTTAGAAGTCACGGTCCCATCCAGAAAACTCCTCCTCAGCCAATGTGTGGTCCTGGGGAAATTTATCAAAGTTGATGTAGCAGGGGCCCTGAAGGAGAACATAGATTTGTTAAATTAACAGCTACACATGAGGCTAAACCCCCAATTGTTAAAATAAACATTTAATGCACATTATGACATATTTTGAAAATCAAGTTGGATGTAGGCTCAGGTGCAATATGGGGTTTTGCGCTTCTGAATAAATATTTAAATGCTCATCAGTTCTGGTGTATGTTCCAATCATTCAGCCATACAAACCAACTGAAAATACCTCTTCACAATGCATGCCATTTTTACTTTTTTGCGACAAAACTCGTACCAAAGCCTCGTAAAATAAAGGATCTAAAGTCTTAAGTCAAGACTCATGAATTTTTCTCGATGGACATGCTGGTCACTCTTGCTGAAAAATGTAACGCTACAAGATTCTCATTACTGTTGTCACACTACAGGGTATCTGCCTTGTGCTTAAATGACATATTAGTGGCTTTTATCTCCAGCTAAGCCAGACTGATTACCTTTTAGATTATAATCAGACAATAAAATGCACAACCAGAAGCTGCTAAATTACAGATCACTTTGTCTTTTAACATCATCTATTTGGGTGTGTGCTCGGTGAGCTCACACAGCTTGCTCTAAGATTGCAAAACCCAATGGGGCGTGGTTTAAAACTTGCAGCATTTCTCTGTGTGTTGCTACAAGTTTACATCCCAATCCTTATGCAGGGCTTATAAGCTAGTTGGAACTTTTTATTTTATAGGTTTGCCCCACCTTAAATTGTTATTTGCATTAAATTTTATTGAGAAAATCTTGTATTAGATCAGAGATCTGACTCAATCTAGAGGTGGATCAGGATGCGATATTAGTGATGAATTAAAGCCCTATCCAATGGATGGGAGCTCACAGCTGGCCATGATGCATGAAGAACATGTGTATATCCTGGAGTGGAAGGATGATATGAAAGGGCCTTCAGACATTTTGGGAACAACAAATTTCCTTTGCCTTAGCTAATGAAAGGCATTAGCCTCTAAATATTCAAACACCAATTGAACTGTAAATTGGGAACCTGTTACAAAATTCACACAACTGCTGGACAACTTTTACAGCAAGGACCCATTACTAATATGCTTAGTTATGCTAAGACAAGTCATTCTATCATGCAGAAGGTTTAAACTGGGCCTTTCACCTTGAGAGTCTCAGTTCAAACACAACAATTTGACCACTAGGGGGCTCTCAGAGTGTTTAGAACATAACGCCAAAGGCAGGCAGAGGATCTATCTGGAGAAGAGAACGTATTAATTATGATGTGTGATTATATATTTCTGTCTTATGTGTTCAGAGTCAGACAGAAAAGGAACTTCTTTTAAAACACTGTATCTGCTTCTGATGTATTTTAACACAAGCTGCTAGAAGTTCCAATAAACTAATTTCATCTGAAACCTCAACATTTTACATTAGTGGCAGTGAATTTGTATACAGAGCAAGAATGATAATTAACATCTGACTCTCACATTTAAATTTCCTATATCAGGAGGAATTTATATAATATATAAGTAGAAAGAAAACTGGTAGCCTGTGCCAAGTAGTGGTTGTAGACCATATTTATTAGGGGGAGACCAGGGTTCGGCCAGTTTTAGTTTTTTTTCATCGGGGCAAAGGACAAAAGAAAAAAAAAATAATAATAATAAACAAAAAGGAGCAACATTGTCAAAAAACCACTTGCTGCTCTGGACCTGCAGGTTTTACACCCCTGCAGAACCTTGATTTCAAATGTAGCTAAAGCTAAGTGCAGATCAATATTAAAGTAAAACCCTAAAGCTAACCATTCAGTTATGGTGTCTGCACCAGAGCATAACCTCATCATAAATTGATTTCATATTATGTTGTCAGTGCGGGTGCCAACAAAGGGTCCAGGACCAGTTCTACAGGAGAACAGGCCCCTGCTGCCCCCCGTCTAGAACCACCCATGGCTATTTTACACCTTTCATTGTAACGGACGATCAATTTACCAAGCTAATGTATATTGTAAGCAACATTAGCTTGGTAAAGGGCTTAATTTCAGTTCTCCACATTTAGAGTCTCATAAAAAAGATTTAGATACATTAAAAATGTACCAAGATATGAAACAGTGGGGCAGCAACCCCAGGCTACTCGATATTGTGTTTAAGTGGCCCCGTATTGTTTCAAATACACTTTTTGCTTTAAGCTTCTCTGTTGGATGAAACAAGTTATGATTTTATGGTGTTTATGTTATTTCCTGTTTTAAGAAGAGAACCTCTTAAAACCTCTTAAGCCCTTTTTTTTGTGGCCTGAGATGTTTATAATACCATGGAGTAGATTAGATTTACTAAATATCTTTTCACCTTGCTCTTTATTACTAATAACTGTTATAATAGCTTTTATTATAACAAATCACTTATTTAAAATGCTGCAAACACAGAGAGGCTTGCTTAGATAGTACCAAAGCACAAGGATTAGTACAATGTAATACAAAATGTGTACACAATGTAAATTATCAAATACTTTTTTTTTTTTTTTTATAAAAAAGCTTTAATATTATAAAAACCATAAAATAAAAAAAAATCTGTAATGTTGTTTTGACTTGCCTTTCGTATGAGTCGTATGGTTGGAGCATCAAGCTGACACATGCGCAGCTTGTGCCAGTTCATACTGCTGTACCACCTGAAATGAAAAAAGGCAGATGTTGTTAAAATAAAGTACATATTGGACATATGGAGAATCCTGCTAAATAACATCATGAGAAGTACTGGTAATCTAACTTATTATATGCTTACTCCACTATGGTAAAAATATAAAGAAAGTAAATTATTTGCCTATTTTTTCTCATTAATTATGTAACTATATAAAATGCACGCAGTGTAATGCCATTTTGCACAACATTTCATTGTTTACATGCGTATGCATTGACTAAGCATAAATGCAGCCACTGCTCTATGAGAAGTGCTGTGGCATGTACAGTGCCCCCTCAATTAACAAGAGAATAAACAGAAATGGTTGAAAATTTTCAATAACAAAAATCGCAATAACGCTTTACTCAGTGTCTGATACACAGAGTAGCTGCAGGGGATGACGGATGGACAGATGAAAGATTTCTTGACTCTGCCTCATGAGAATCACATGTTGCCATGGTTACCTGTGATGCCGTACATCTTTGATTCCATTCTTGGTGTTTCCTAACCTCTGACCCGGCCGAGGTCTACAAAGAGCATGCAGAGAGACAGTCAATAAAGCACTGCATAAGCTGCCATTCTCTAAGATATAGAGGAACAGAATAGTCAGCTTTCTATTTACAATATTTGCATGGATTTTTCAGTTATAATCCATTAATATGGAATATTAAAAGTAAGATAAATTAACTAGTTAAGAATGTTATTGCTTTAACTTTGGTATTTGTCTGCTTACCTGCACAGTTTGCTGATAATTGACTTTGCTGCCTCACTCAGGTAAGGTGGAAACTTGAGCTCTCCGTCCAGAATTTTGGAGTAAATCTTCTGAGGCTCTGAGCTTGAAAATGGAGGACTGGAGGTATGAAAGCAGAACAAAGAGTTGGAGGATAAACCTTTAGTTCAAGTGGCACTCAAACACTCACACATTAAAGCACAAACTGACATCAGTCCCACGTCCCCACTGCCATCTGCTGGTTAACATTCTGTAAATGATGTGTTGGAAAATTATTTTTGTTTAAAAAATAAATAAATAAATAAAATTAATATATAGACTGGAAAAGATGATTATACCAATTGCAACATGTGATCAGCCATGCAGAAGGGACAAAAAACATGCAAAAGAAGGGTCTCCAGTCAAGTTAGTTAAATTTTATTATAGTCTACGCCAGGGAACTGAAACCTGTGGCTCGACAAAGGCTAATAACTGGCTTAAAATAACAAAAAACAATAATCCCTTAATAACACAAAAAGCACCAGTAATTGTTTTTTTAGATTGATTTTTGGAGGAATGAAAACTCCGATAGCTGTAACATCATTTTCCACAGATATCAACATCCTATAGAAGACAGTCTATCCAAACTTGAAAAAGTTTTTTTTTTTCTCTAAATGTTGAACCAAAATTTAAAGAGGAATTGGTGGTTTCTAAAAAAAAAAATCATACTATCACATTATTGGTGATAAGAACAAAAGAAATTAAACCATATACAGTATATACATATACATATACATATACATATGTATAGATATTTTTTCAAAAGATCATGCATTATTTGCCAGTTTGATATGTTTCATTTCGTTAAACTGAGGACAAAAATGGCTCTTTGCATTGTAAAGGTAGTGGACACATGGTCCACACAGATATAATTCCCATAAATAAATGTTTATGGCAGCAAGTTTTTTTTTTCCTCAAGTAGCGGGAAATGTAGCTGATCACAGTTAAATCAAATATTGATTTGTAGAATATTGTTTTGTTCATGGTTATTTTCTGTTCCTAAACTATGCAAACTATCTAAAATTACTTTTGTATTATAGAACAGATTGCAGGTGTTAGAATAGAGTAAATAAGTTAATTGAATTCCCAAAAACTCCATAGATGCCCCAAATCTGCCAAGACCTCTTCTTTATACTGGGTGATTGAGATGACGCACTTATTATTTGGAAAAGTATTCTAACTGTAGCTAAGATGTATACTGACAGTAGCTTTATCTCATTTACTCAGCTGAATTTGAGTTTCTCTCTGCCTTTCTCGTGTTTTACAATAATTTATGTTTTGCTTCAGATTCCAAGCACTGATAAAAAAATAGGTAGAGTTTCTTCCACTCTGTACCACCAGACTATCTGCGAGAAGCATGACTAAAGCTCTGCATGCAGGTGTATCAACAGAACTATAGGAATCAGCTTTATCACAGAGTCATTCTTGTTATATAAACTCTCATTCATAGCTGATTGAATTTCAGGTTTATACATAGATTCCATTATTCAAAAACTAAGTTGAAAAAAAATGGTCATTATTTGTATCTTCTCAGTGTGACAGATGTTCTTCTGAAGGGACTCTGACTCATCTTATTCTTTTTCTGTCCCTAATTGTTTGGCTTTTGGTCCTTGGTCTTCAGATGTTTCTCTAGTTACTGCTTAAAAGACGTCCAACCAGATCATAACATATCAATATTTGGATGATCTAGAAACAGCCTGCAATTTAATTTGGACTTTCAGACAATTTTGCAACTCATGATGGTGGATGTTAGAAAATTATACTACTCTCTCTGACATAAATCATCTTTCCAAGTTTTAAATGCTGCCTCAGGGACATGGTATCCATGGGAAAACTGTGACGTATTTGTTTGAATAAACTGTGTTAACATCTTGACCGAGAGGCAATTAAACGTCCCCTCTAAGCTCTATTGCTAAATGATCACACAAGCTGCAGGTTGGTTGAGAAATCATGGATTTTATATCAATTTTGCTGCTTTGTATGGCAGGAGAATAGATGCATATGTTGTGTTGTTTTTGTTTTCCGTCAGGCAGTTCTGTTTTGTTTGGGACAAAAGTTTTCTTTTGTTTGGTATAAAAAATAATAAAAAAAAAACATTATAAATGCATTATTAAAATAACACATTGGAGTTTGTTTTTCTAAAAAACAATGTGAAAAAAAAACCTTTTGCAAAGTATAAATCTGAGACAAGTAGTGAGGTGATTTTTTTTCTGGTTACCTTCCAACCAAAAGTTCAAAGATTAGGATTCCGAGAGACCAGAAATCAACTGCAAAGTCATGTCCCTGGTTCTTAATAATCTCAGGTGCCATGTACTCAGGAGTTCCCACAAAGGAGTAGGTTTTTTCCCCACGGATAAGTTCCTTAGCAAAACCAAAGTCAACCTGAAAAACAAAATCCAGGGTCAACAGAATCTCTTCAAAAGCATAAAAAAACAGATAGCCATGTGTAAGACGACTTTAGAGAGTTAAGTTAGCCCTAGTCTCAAGTACCAACCAGTTTGACGTAGCCTTTCATGTCCAGCATCAGGTTCTCAGGCTTAAGGTCTCTATACATGATGTTCTTTTTGTGAAGGTAAGCGTAGGCTTCCACCACACAGGCGGTGCAAAAAACCACAACATGTTCATCAAAACGCCCTCTGTCGTCACAGAGATAAAAAAAAACACATTGTAAATACAGGTTTGTTTTGTCTAATAATGCCAATTAAGCAATAAGAGATAGTGAGGAATAGCCTAAATAAACAGCTTCCCTTTGGTTTTATTTATCTGTTTTTCTATTCTCTTTTTTCTTTCAGTCAGCAGATCATTCAGCCATCTGCTGCTTTTACACCAAAACACTCTCATCACTCTTTTGTATTTTTGCTTACACTTCCTTCAGTTTGGTCCAGATTTCCCCTCCGCCACAGAACTCCATCACCATGTAGATGTATCTCGTATCTTTGAATGCTGCATAGAGTCTACAAAAAGCAGAGAGAGAAAGGATTAAAGTATAATTTGGCAGCTGTAAAATGTCCAAATGAATGCAAGAAGTGTTAGGGCAGTTACTTCACAATGAAGTCGCACTGGATCGCTTTGAGGATCTTCTTTTCAAAAAGCATGTGTTCCTCCTGCCGTTTGACAACGATTTGCTTTTTGCTGACTCGCTTCATGGCGTAGTATTTCCCATGATTCACTGTGGTCATCTGAGCTCAACAAAAAGAAAAAAAAAATCGACATTTGCTTTCAGTTCCAAAAGTGGACATTTCTTACCTAGTAGTAGTTAGTAAAAGCCTTTTCAGTAAAAGATTACAAACCCGCTGTGTCCAGTCCTTTAATTACTTCTAACAATAGTAATTGAAAGGGAACTTACAAGCTGAACACGACCAAATCCTCCAACTCCCAGTGTGACAGGATCCCCTTGAAAGCGTCCCTCCTGATATAAAACAGGGATCAGATCCTTAAACTTCAGAGTGGAGCTTGGACTGAAACAGAAAAAAAACGCATTTTACCATTTCTGTATCATTTATTGATCTGTGATTCTTATGCCTGAATTTGGCTTTTTTTTCTTCTTTTTTGCTTCTTAAACTAAAGTCCAATCAAAGTGTACTCTTTGACACATTTTATCACAATAAATGCTCCCAAAAACCCAGTAAACATTATATATATATATATATATATATATATATATATATATATATATATATATATATATATATATATATATATAGGAGACTCTCTTCAATGGGAAATCTATCTAAAATAACTTTTCATTGCTAAATCATTGTTGTTTTTTTGCTAATTAATTATACAAATGTCTTACAGTGGCAGTGTCATTATGACATCGTGCAAGACACTTGCTTTGCCCATTGATGGTGGTCAGACGGCCCAGAGGCATCTTTATACAGCAGCCCCACCTCGTGTTATTGTGCTCCAGGCCAGCTACAATGTAGCTTACCACCATCAGTGTGTGGATGGGTGATGCATGAATATAATGTCACATGCCTTGGAGTCTACGGACTTGGAAAAGGTGCTATACAAGTGCAGGCAATTTACCATATATGGAGAGGTTACTGCACATTTGTTAAAATCCTGCTTTTGAGTCTAAAAACGGTTGGTTCGGCACCATTCTGAAGTTTAAGAGGGGTTAGACCATCTGATTTTTAATATAGGCTTGGCTGGGAATGTGACATAAGCAAGAAAACAGCCATGTTCTTACTGTTGATCCTGCAAAAGACAAAGGAATGGAAGCTAGGAACAGAAACAGAAGTTGACAATTTTCTGTAATAACTTCGTTATTCTCTGAGGCAATGGTGAATGCTGGATTTTGTAAATAACAAAATGAGGAAAGTATAACACTTCCACTCTGTTAAGTATAACATGCAGTTACCATGAAAACTAAACCCCAATTTATGAGCAGACAATATAGTTAATAAAGGGGTAACATTGACACCTTTGGCAACCTCTCCAGCTTCTTTTAAATAGATAGATTTGATCACATGCATTTATGAGGTCAGACGAGGTAAAATAATATGCATGCAGAATAAGAGTAATGAGGTGACATAGTGAGCACAGTGGGCAGAATACCTCTTCAAAGGAAGAAGTCATTTAAAATGTGTTAATGAATAGAAAAAACAAGAAAAAAATACATTTTAATCTAAAGATAACTGAAGAGTTTTCATTGTGCACTATCCAGTGTTGTCAGAAGCATCTTTCTTCGAGGGTTGATTTCATTTGGATAGCAACAAAACATTAAAGCCAACTAAAACTAACCATCATAAATGATTCTTACAGCTACAAAACTACGGTGTGTGTCTGATTTTTCTCAAAAGAGAAAAAGTTTGTCAAGTTTTTTCAATGTGTTTCCAAAACAGCTATTTGCTCTAGAACTTGAACTTTGGCTTTGACAAGAAGAGCCACACCATTAATCTTTTTCTAAAAAGTGTCTACCATTGTCCACAGAGCTGTTTATATACCAGATGATAGTCTGCATACTTTTCTTACAGCCTGCAAGCACAATCATTCAGACTTTTATTTCTTTACTGTCACTCACATTGGCTTTTCTGGAGCTTGAGCCTCTTGCATCACTTTAGAACTGAAAGATAAGAAAAAAAAAATATCAAGCTGGACAGTAAGCAAGAAACCCACTGAGCTTATATTCCCACTCTGGAGTGACTTACTCATCAAACAGTTCAAGGTGCTCTACAGGGATCGTCTCTTCAAAAACCCTTAAAAACAACAACACTGACATGAAACTAATTGTAAAGCACTATCTAAAAAGAAATGGATCCAACAGTAAGAAACAGGAAATCTTCATCCAAAGCTGGTGAGACTCACTCCTTGTCCATAGAGAAGCAGGTAACAGGTCCATCAGCAGTGCAGGTGGCTGTTCTCAAAATCTCGCTGTGGAAACATGAAGAAAACAAGGTGACACGTCTAAGTCTCTGCATTATTAGTACGATACATCTAAATCAGTTTCTTATATTTTATGAGTCAGAAAATATGAACGCAGCACTATATACAACCAGTTAACGTGAATGAAAAATTCAAAATAAAATAATTTAAGAGAGGGGCACAAATATCAGTTGGCTCATTTCCTTCCACGAGGTAAAACGTTACAGTTATAATTCTGTTATATTTATCATCACATGCAACGCAATAAAAAACAAAAACAAAACATTAAATGCTAGTTTAATATAGGGGGAACATTGGATTTTCATTTTCTTCTATTCTGAATATCTCCAAAATGTTTAAAAATCAACAGACTTCGCAAGTAAAATGATAAGCAAGGCAGCATCCAGAAAATTAGACACTTATTTAAATGTTTTTACATTATAAATAGGTTATTAGTTGCATTTGAATGCTAACCGTATGAGTGCCTGCTCCCCAAAGTGCTCTCCTTTACCCATCCTGCGAATCTGCTTCTGGTGTCCGTTCACATTCTTAGTCACCAGTACCTAACAAGACAACACACCTTTAGACCAAAAAGGGTTCACTATCTCAGCCGTTTTCACATGTTCTGACATCGAGTTACCTCTCCTTTGAGAATAATGTAGAAAGTGTTTCCTTCTGTTCCTTCTCGAACTATAACATCTTTATCCTGAAACTTGACCTGTAAAAAACAGAATAACAGATAGGTTGACATCTCATGCTTTACCTCACATAATTAGCTGTTTTTTAAGCCCTCAAAATGCATACAATATTTTACCAAATATACAGGAAAATATTGCCAAGTGTTTCTTAACTATTGTTAAGTAAATTACCTCTTCCATGGAGTCAATGATTTTGGACAACTGTGCATCATTCAGATCCTTCAGAGTACGAGACCTGTTGGAAGCAGGTGGAATAGCAGAATTAGGCATTACTATAATAAGACATTTGAAGAACAAATGAACAGATTAAGTATATGTTTTTTCTAAAAATCAAAACAGATAGGCCTGTTGGAGGATTAGAAAAACTCACGTCTTGAGGAAGCCCATGAGCTCCTCCCGTTTCTTCTTGGACTTGTTGGTTATAATTGTTCTGTAGGTCTGTCGCTCCATGCACCACAGATGCACAGGTGTCTTTGCTGTTTTATGAGAGGAACAAAGATCAAAACTTTTCAAACTATTTCATGGCAGCAGTTTTCCCTCAGTATTTTCTTTACTCTTCCCCTCAACTAGTTGATGAAAGGTTTTAGATCTGCATGTTTAAAAGTTTAGATTCACAACATAGAATCTCTATTGTCTTCTTCAAGGTTTCTATTCAAGCGCTCTAATAAACCTTCCTATGCTCGGTTTTGTGATATTAAAATAAAAAGTTTCAAAATGCAAAACAAAAAAAAGGTCAAAATATAATTGAAACAATTTTTATGCCAGCTAGAAACTTTTATCAATATATAATTTGCATCTGCTTTAAATTGCTTGTTTTATTTGGAAAAGTTTAAAGTAAAACAGCACTAGTTCTGGAATAATATCATGAATACAGTGATTGATTAATAAACCTTTCTTGTTTCATTCTTTTTTCTCCAACTATCAAATGTGAAAGAGTGTCCCTATTGCCCCAAGTCGGCTTCTGATTTGTTGACAAGTACCCCTTGGCATCTCCTTCTTTACAAGCTTCGTCCTCTGATGAGCCACTAAATCTGGACAACTTTAGAACCCTTCAACAAACCTTTTCCAAATGGGTCACTGAGAACTAATCACCCTTTGAGATTAGCTTGTGATAAATATTTTATTTAAATCATACACAAGATTGAGTTTTTGTCCAAAGCCGTGTAATATTCTCCTTTTTCTTCCATTCACATCGGAGGTTATTTCAGAGTCACATAGATAAGGTATTTTGTTTTGCTTGAAAGCTTAGTAATCATATTATACTTTAAAGAAATGAAAGTCCTAAGATCAATTAAAAAGATTAATGGTACAATTTCTCTATAGCTTTATGTTTTATCATACCAAAGAATTTCCCTTACCCTACATATTCAAATAAGTATTTTTTTGTTTGTTTTTTTATTTTTTATTTTTTTTTAAATGGGTAAAAGTTAGTGTTGCACCGATAACGATCCAGCACTAGAATGGTGCCATCGGTATCGGTGAGTACCAACAAATAGGGCACCGATACCATTTTGAGAGCCAAAAGGTTATTCAACTATTGTCACCCATTCCAGGTAAGCAATAAAAAGTTCTACTGGATTCACTTTGTATTAGTCTTTCTCCTTCTTCACAAGCTGTGATGGTAATTATTTTACATACAAGTCATATGCAGTTCTTCATATGAACACACATCAATTTCAAACAGATGGTATCGGTATGGTATCGGTATCGGCCAATACTGCCCAGCCAGGTATCGGGTATCGGTATCAGGGCCGAAAAATGGTTTTGGCGCAACACGTATTATGCAACATATATACATTTTCCAATATGCATCATCTTTAGAACTTTGTTTCTCCGATTTAAAGAAGTTATTGAAAATATTTGTCCTTTAGAATTCATACTCCACAGCAGAGATGTCATGAAGGGAGCAAACTAACATTGACTTGTGCCATATACATTGATGCTGATTCAATACACAGAGCTGACACAAGCCTCTTCATTACTTTGAAACAATAACAAAGTTAAAAGCCAATGTCTGAGATAGGAGAAAAATTGTGAAATTCTTTATAATTAAGCTATAAATAGAGTCTAACCTTTGACTGTTGCTGTCCGTTTGCAGTTGTACAGGATGGCTAACTCTCCAAAAACATCCCCTGTTGTCAGACTCCTCAGGTCCCGTCCTGACTGAGTCACCATGAGTTCACCAGCTAAAGGACAAAACATTTTATACATCACAAACTGATAACACCAAACCAAAACACTGCATATATTTAATGTTTTTTGTTCTCCCACACTGTTTACATTTGATCACTGCTGCACTTTGAGAAATGGAAATGTCATGAAAGCTGTACAAAACAAAATTTCACCATTATACATAGTCTGTGAATAAAAAATGGAAATAAAAGTTGTGTAAGTCTAAGTCTAACTTTCTGGATATGTCAATAGTAATTTTGAATTTTGGTCCAATGTTACCATAAAACTTAAAGCAGCTGACCTCCAGACATGGACCTACCTGCCACTATGTACATGCTGTCTCCTTCTGACCCCTCCTTTATGACTTCTTCCCCAGGTTTGAACTGTGATGACCTTAAGAGGTCCACCATCATGCTTATCTGCTCATCGTCAAGGCGGCTCAGGAAGTCATTCTTCTGGATGGCTTTAACAATCAGATTGGTCTCACTGTAGAAACACACAAAAAATAACTTTCATTTCAATTCAAAGTTAGCTCTTTTTGTGGAACCATATGATCTTATTATATTCTGGGGCATTGCATTTTGTGTTTTCATTACCTTTAAAGTCCAAACATCAAAATAATATTAATAATAATAATAAAGGCTTTAATATTTCACTCTATGAGGAATACATTTTTATTATATTTGGGCTTTAATTTCAAAAACGAGAGAAAGAAAGTAAATATTAGAAATATATACTTATGTTCTGGAGTCTAAGGCTGAAAAGGGATTCACAGGTATCACCTGAGATAATTAATTTAAATATGAACAAACAAATCTTTTAATCGCCTTCATTAGGTTTCATTTAATGTGCGGGTGTTATTTGGCTGTACTGAAACTTTAATCAAAAGTTTAATCAAAAGATCAGTCCAGGAAATGAGAAAGGTAAAAAATTTTAGACCTTTCTTTCACAAAGAGATTTTATTCAGCAGCTTGTAGATGCAACTGATTATTTTTTAGTGGAATTGTTCCACTATTGCTCTGATTGAGACAGAAAATTTGTGATAAACTTGAGGTTCAAATTATGGTTGTGCACCTGCACCCTTTCGCTCTTTCATGTAGTCATATGTAGTCATTTTCAAACTATATAATTTTCCAATTCAATATCTTAATATGACATTCCTCTTCTCTTAATCTACAACTCAAATAAGCTTGTCCTGTGTCGAATTCTCTGTCTGATTTTGGAACCCTGAGACATTCTCACTGAAGCGAATCCATCTAGGATCTGGAAAAATCATTCCGAGACCAGCGGTTTCCATACCACCACACAGTTCCTGAGTTATACAGGGACTGGGATTGAGTTTACACTGGTGTGAACAGCTCCTTAAACCAGATTCTAACACGGTTAAATATGATTTAAATGTAAATAATTAACAGTGTGTACATATTGGGCATAAACTTCTCATTTCTATATCACAAAAAAAGGCTTAGAGGACTGACTCTGATTTCAATAGCGTGCTGTTTAATACTCTAAGGTCTATAGAAATGGAGGATGTGGAAGGTGCGCTCATGCAAGCAAAAGTTTACAATTGATCAACGTTTTTTGCAGTAGCTGAATATTATCGTTTTGTTTTGTTTTAGGTTTGACCTTTATTTTTGTTCTTAATTGTTTAAATGTTGTGCAGACCAGATATGTTTTAAATTAAATAGTTCTTGAAAGAAATTTGTCTTAAGTGGCGACAGAAAATATCATAATAAAAACAATGTATATGTTAATTTCATTCTATTTTAAAATGGAATTATTATTATTTATTGACATGAAATAATTAGTTGTTAAAATAATGGTTTCCATACATGACTTGGTAAATATCTATTCAGTTTAAAGTAGGATGTAAATTATATAAGGCATCAGTTGTCAATTTTGTGTATGCCTCAAGGTATCTAAAAATGGCCCTAGGAGTTAACACATCTTAAACCGCTAAGGTGTGATAAGTGCTGATTTTGATCCTTTGTCACAACCTTTCACTTTTGGAAAAATTTCCTGCTATAAGCAATGATAAATTCAAAATCATGTATTATTAAAAGTTAGAAGGGATAGAAGAACGCAGCTTAATCCCATGAGATAGAGGGTTAGAGTTGTTAAATTCAGTGAGGAGAACTGCTCACTGACCTGCTAGTCTTCTTGACCTTGTTGCGTGAAATAACCAGCTTCTCCTGAATTGGTTCAGGGGCTATAACAGCTGCACGACTCTTCCTGAATTCAGGTTCGTCATCATTAGCACCCTGGGAGGGAAATTCTAAAAAAAAAAAAAAGCAAAAGGACAGAAACAAGCAAAAGGTCCCACATTATAATCAGATAATCTTTTTACCATGTAAGGAGGTACATTGGGTGTATAGATGGTGCCTATTTGGGTCTCATACCAAGGTCGTGGTACTGACTCTGCAGTTGCTGCAGAAGTTTTTCTTTATCTTTTAGCCGTAGCTCTGCAAAATAAAAACAAACATGCATGTTTAATGTACAAGATATTGTAGAAAGCATGCATACATGATTCGATATGCTACATTTGTAATTCAAAAAAAAGAAAAGCAGCTTGGTCTAGATGTGATTTTATGTTTGTTTTACTTACCCAGATCCTTATTTTGCCTCTGTAGCTCTTTATTGATTTGACATTGTTTCTCAAGCTGCTGCTTTAGCTCTTCTAGCTGTTTCTCCATGTCTACAGGGAGAGGAGAGTATAATTAAGGCATAGAAATATAGTGAATAATTTGAAATAATAGGAAAAGATACATAAACTGACCCCTTCTTTACACACTATTACACACTATTAATTAACCAGAACCTATTAAGAAGCTATTACAAAGCTGTCTAATCTGTGTTTTATCTTTCAAGAGAAAGGATTCTAGCTCAAATTAAACCAAAAAATAATTCTGTATACCATCTCCTTCTGGAAGATAAGAGGCACGTCTTTCTGTCTTGCCATGGTGTTAACTCTTTTATCAGGATCATACCAAACATAATGTTTCTGATATAAACTGGACAAACTTTCTAAAAAGCACTTAGTAAGGATGATCTGATCATTTGCACCTAATCTGATCTGTCCGGTTTCAATTTCAGCTATTTTAATGAGGGATAAATGTGTGGGTGTCCTGATTTATTTCCCAACACAAATGCCCTTTTTTTCATTTACCCTAGATTTTAAAATATTATTAAAGCTTAGATTAAATCAAGCTGGCAAATTGCGTTCAGATATTTTATCTTTAATGAAAGGGATTATAAAGGAAAACATTTGTGTGAGCTGTCTGTGTTCATACGTTTTTGAAAAACCAACTCTACTGCCTGTGAGGCAACATGACATCTGCTGAATAATACATGCTAATGATGGACAGCCAACAGGGTGCTACCTATCAGCTTTTACTGGAGCTCCTTTAGGGTTCTTATTTTGGTCAACATTTAAAAGTAATAAAGAAGAAACAGAGGATAAATGCTTATTGCATTCTAACTATGAGTTATACTTTACCTTTTAAACTCTGCACAGGTTCAGAAATAGAACGCTATAAAGCTCTGCCAATAAAACTTGGGATTTAAGGTTGAATGAATCTTACCAAGTAACAAACGCACAGGTTGAATGGAACAAAACAAAACCACATAGATAAGCTCCTCTCTCCCTGTTTCTTAATCTAGATCCGCTGTTTACACAAGCACTGCAAATATGGTATCTTCACAGATATTAGAAGGATGTTTTGTCAGCACTGAGAGGACCTCCATGTGTATTGTTTGAAATACTAGATTATTGGTTCCCTTACCAATAAACCAAACAAGGAGCCCAGTAAAAACCAACCTGTTTACTCATGATTACAGCACACTTCACGTGACCCCGAATATATTGCTGCCTCACCCTGAACATTGGACAGCTTTGAGATTAGACAAGAGGTTAAATCATAAAGTTGTGGAGAAACAGAGCAGCAGACCACGACGGGGGATTTAAGGTCTCTATGAAGAAAGGAGTTAAATAAACCATGAAAATCACACTTTTTGAGCTTAAATTCACAGAGTGAGGAGGCAGATATATAATCCTGCTGCTGCCGAGCCAACTGACCTGTGCAAAAAAAAAAAAATTCCTACATTCTGCAAAATGCAAAGATTTGCCCTAAAGCATTTTATTAACTTGTCCGTATAGCTTGGACACACAAGAGAGCTGTGCACAAACACAATTTGTGAGCTTTCTAGGAACTTGATGCAATAAAAAACAACCAGGGACAGATTGCAACGATAACCTCCAGGGTGCAGAAACCGCCATTAAGTGAAAAACACATTGCGGGTGCCACTGAGACAGATTCTGGATAAATAGCAGCAACTCATGTATTTATAGATTGATGTTTTATTTATTCTATTTACAAAATAATACTAGTGTGGAATAAGTGATTACAATAGAAACAATCTCCATGTGGGAAGTGATCTGAGCAGGAAATGAAACTTGGAGGTGTTGGGAAGGGAAATGTGTTTTTCAGCTGTGCAGCAAGAAGATGATGCCAGCTATCATTATACTGATCCAGCCATCACTCTGCACACTTCCTGCTGCTTTATCAATAATTCATGGGAATGTGTAACTACAGCTGGATTCTCAAAAGGCATACTGCAATAGTCTGGTGTGTTTAACATGCCTCTGTTTTACAGTGTTATTGGCCATTATGTGAAGGGCCAGTAGCTGTAAATAAGAACAGGAAAAAAGAATATGTATTTTAAAATTACAGTTTTCAGATGTTCTGAGAAAGATAACTACTATAAGGAGACATTTAAAAAAAGCGCAAAAAAATGATAACCTTACCTGCAGGAGGTGTAGATCGGTATTAAAGATGAACACTTGTCAAGCCTATTCAGGCCGCATGGATCAAAGGAGCTGAATGATCAGCCTGGCCTGCTTCCAGCTTAACAACCACTTCAGCTGTGGAGAAGTTCCAGCTTTTGAACCTGCTTGATTCCCAGGCGGTCAACAATTTGCAGCAGCCCCTCTTGCATTACCACCTCTTCCCTTTTCTTTCAACCCTTGAACACTTTTCTGAGATCACATTGCCAAGTCTGTCTTTCACGTCTCTCTAGCTTTCCTCAGTTTTTCCCCTTCCCTCTTTCCATATCTGTCAATCTCTGCGGCTATGGAGTTGAATCATTAACTCGACACCTGACGCTCCACCCATCACACCAGGTAGGTACAGCAAGGAGGATGAGGACAGTCCGGACTGGAGAGAAAACTCAATACTGTTGTATTTCTATCATGGCAGATTAACTGTAACTCTTAAAACTCACAATAATATATTGTGCATAATACAAAGTATTCAAATAGGAGGGCAATAAACGAAGATAAAAAGAGGAAGCATTAAAAAATGTAAATTATATTTATGAATTATAATCATAGTAAAACATTTCTGCCAGCTACTAACTTTTTAAAGAGGAATGCAAACATTGAAAGATGCTGCATTACTATATTGTTTCACTGTCTGGCTTTAAATTGGATTTATTTTTCCTTTTTATGTCAGTTAGGATTAACTACATTTCATTAGCAAAATTCCAATTTTTTTTTTATTATCCAAAAGTTTATATATCTTTTATTAGTATTCAGCTGTACAACTAGGGTTAAACGTCTCATATTTTCCACTGTAGACTAAGCTGCTAAGCTAAAGGAAACTAGAAGAGAGTGTAGCAAGTGAGACTTGAAAGTCACATACAACTGAATGTCATCTGCATTGATTTTATAGAAGCTGTAAAATAATTAATGAAAGATTCCAACTAATACATTGTCAATAAAAGAAAAAAGGAAAGAAGGAACACAGCATACAGAGGGAGTGTCAGAAAAAATAACGCTTGTCCTGACACAGAGCATCCTAATAGGTAAAGGACGATGCCACAATTGAGTATATATATATATATATATATATATATATATATATATATATATATATATATATATATATATATATATATATATATATATCAAGTTGATGCTTTGTAGAAAAATACTGTTTATTTAATAGTGTAGGTAAATATCTGTTTTTAACTGAATTATGTAAACCAGTGAAAACAGGTTTTTTCCCCATTATGCTAAGAATAAGTTGCTTTCCTTCCTTCTTACGCCTCCACAGTAGCAGTGGATGGTTTTTAAAGGTGAAAGCATTCATTGCAGCTCTCAGATTACAATCTACAGGATTTAGAAAGTAGCTATTTGGTTCTATTTTTTCCACAAAGAAAATGCCACTTCAGGCCTGTTTTTCCAGACCACAAATGAATCTAAATGAGAGTTAGAGTGGTTAGGATTGTGACAGAGGGTGTGGGGCTTTATTGGTCATGGTTAATTATTGATGCATTTCTGGTTAATCAGCGACATTAATGACTCTACCTCACCGAGATAAAAGGCTTGGATTTTAAACGATGAAACCAAAGAAGGCAAGCGGTTGGGATCGGCATATTTTAATCACCTTATATGTGGTAATTAAAAGCAACTGAATTATTTGTTAATGAGGATCACAGTCCTAGCCTTTATCTAATACACATAATGCATTTCTTGGTATTTCCAGAGACTTAGACCTTCATAACATTTTATTGTATTACAACCACAAAGTTAAAGGATTCAAAGGGTTTTTCTCGTGGTAGATCAACACAGTGTTGCCCAGTTGTGAAGTGAGAGGATAATGATACAGGAGTTTTGAATATTTCTAAAAAGATCAAATCTGTAAAAAAGATTTAAAAAGTGTGGCCTGCATTCATATGCAAGTCTCATCTAATAAAATCCAGTGTAATATATTGCCTTCAGAGGTCAAACTATTTGACAACGAGGTGCTCGCCCCCCCATAGCCCAATCGTTGAAAAGCACATGCTAATGTGGCCTTATGAGAGCCAGAGCACATGCTAATGTGCACTCTTCAAAGCCAAAACATGTGCTAAAATGCCCTCAGGTTCCCTGAAGCAGAGCAAAAACACTTGCTAAACCGTTTTGGCTCCTTGCTAAAGTATTCTCCAAGTAGCGAAGCGCATGCTAAAGTGCCTTCTCAGGAGCCAAAACAGTTGCTTAAGTTACCCTCACAGTAGCCAAAGAGCATGCTAAACTGTGCAGCATGTGCTAAATGCCATCTCAAGCCAAACCACTTGTTAAAGTACCCTCTCAAAAGACTAAGGGCATACTATGGTGCCCCCTTTGAAGCCAAAATGTACTAAAATGCTCTCTTCTAAGCAAAACTGCATGCTCATGTGCCCTCAAGTATCCTCTCGGGAGCCAAAATGTGTGCTAAAGTATCCTCTCAGACACCAAATCATGTGCTAAGTTACCCTCCCAGTAGCCAAAGCGTGTGCTACAGTGCCCTCTTAGAAGCCAAAACATGTGCTAAATACCCCTTAAGCCAAAAAATGGGGTAAAGTGTCCTGTTAGAAGCCTGACATACTACAGTGCCCTCTTGGAACCCAAAGCATGCTAGAATTCTCTCTTTGGAGCCAAATCGCACGCTTAAGTGCTCTTTTGGAAGCCACAATGTGTTTAAGTACCCTACCAAAGGCAAAACGCGTACTAATTTGGCCTTCTATAAGCCCTGACCTAAGTCCTATTGAGTATCTTTGGAAGGAGCAGAAGCATGCGTCTGGAGAAGGCAGGCTTCAAGCCTGAGACAACTGGAGCAGTTTGTTCATAAGGAGTGGGCCAAAATACCTGCAGAGAGGGGCAGAAGTCTCATAGACATTTACAGGAATCATTTGATTTCAGTGATTTCCTCTAAAAGCCTCTGCAATTAAATATTAAGTAAGGGTAAAATCATTCTAGACAGGGCCTGTTTTATGAGTATAATTTTTAAATCTTTTTCTTAAAGCATGGTTGAAAAGTAATATCTGACTTTCATTTTTTTTTTTTTTTATTGATACTTTTCTCAGATTCAGGTTATTCCTGTAAGCAAGTAGGTAATATTTTTATTAAAGAAAGGGAACCAGCAATTTTGTCCAAGTGTGTAGATAATATAAAGGCCGCCTTTGAGGAAAAGAGGCCGGGCGAATTTCACAAGAGCCCTGTTTAGGCCAATGCACTGATATTTTAGAATGGCCCAGTCAAAGTCCAGATTTCCATTCAACTGAGAATGAATAGGGTTTTTTAAACTTCTACTTAGACAATGTTTAATCTACCTGAGCTTGCAAAGAAGGGTCACCATTCTGGTTAAGACATTTCCTAAGACGACAAAGTATTGACTAGGGGGATGAATTAAAACATAGTTAATAGTTTCTTATAAAACTGAGAGAAAAGTTAAATTTTCTTTCCACTTAAAAATTATGTAAACCCTCATTTTGGTCAGATTTGTAGTTGTGCATAAAAAGCTCAAAGGGACTGAATTCTTCAAGGCAGTGAATGCAACCTAAGATGTTCATTCACCAGATAGAATGAAATTCTTTAGATGCCAGTCTTTATTTGCTTCTACAAGGTATCACACATAACATAAACCAAGTATGTATATACAGAGATATACAAGCGTCTCATGTATAATAGGATTGTGCGCATTGGCTCACTGAGAATTTAAAATAAAGGCAACAATGTCACTTAGAAATTACAAGGTGATTAAAAACAAAAACAAAAAAACATGTTTTAAACATGTGCAAAGAGCTGTCAAAACACACATTTTTTAAAGGCAAAAATATCAATTTAACTGCAATAGTTTATTGTCCTCTATAGTGCATACTTTTTTTTTTTCTCTCTATGAGTAGGATAGAAAAATGAATAAAACATGTCTTCTACAGTGAATCCAACTTCATTTTCACTGCCAGTTTACCACATTAAGGTAAGGTCCATTCATAATAAGTGCTCCCTTCATTACAATCAAACATGTCAGTTCTGCTCATACAGAAAAACATTGTTCAAAGACAATTATGAATATTTAAGCAGATTCATACTAATATCTTCTTATAAACAGCATTTATACATTACATCTTTTTTTAACACTGTGCAAATGACAAAGGTAAATCATGAGAATTCAAACTTTAAAACACTTCACATTCTTCCAGATGGAATATTGTAAGTTCACACAGAGCAAATGTGCTTACCTTACAGAATGTTTCACTAATCTACCTTAGGTAAAAGCTGCGCTCTGTACTTAAACTAATTGAAGGCATTTAAAACACCACATTTTTTTATCTTTATTATAGAGCGAAAAAGTATAGCAGTTGGATTTTAAACATTCCTTCAAGGCAATTAGTTTAAAAATGATTTCTATTTTCTGCACACCTTATTTTGCAGTGCTTCCAGGGCTGATGTTGAGGAGGAAATGGAAAGCAGTTAACATTCCAAAAAACCAGTCATTCAAAATGTTCTATTTGTGCAAAAGCATTTTCTTCTGTTTTTATTTTTTTTATTTTTTTTTTTTAAACTGGCTCCAGAACTTCATACTTCAATACTTGAAAAGTGACTTTGCCTCCGACAATGTCACTGTTTTTTAGGTTTGCTTATTTTGTTCCCATCTGAGGTATGTCAGCAGGGCTGCAATGACGTCAAAACATTTGGATGGACGGCTAACAGCATGCAAGGAACAACCAATGCAATTCGCTTAATTTTTCTTTTTTTTTTTTTTTGGTTTTCCTACCTTCTGATTTCTGTAATTGATTATTGTTTACTGTCGTGCTGGTGTTGAGATAGCTCATCTTTTTTTATTCTACAGGCTCTTTTGATATCCCCTGGATGTTCAAAGACTGCCTGGACGAACTGGCCAAACAGGCGCTCCATATAACTCTCCCCCCGAGGAAACAGACCCTGCAGGAAGGCAATGTGTCCCCCATGATCAGTCAGCAGCAGAGCCACGTTTGGCAGAGCCTGGACTATGGCAACAGGGAACGCTGAAAAGGCCACAAACATATTCAAAGAGACATAGATTATAAATTACAAAGTCCACCAATCTCTTAAATGGCTCCCAGCTTTCTGTTATCTACTCACCACTCTGCGGAGAGAATGGGTCATCAGCAGCGTTGAGACACAGGATAGGTACACTAGTGTTGGGGAGCTTTTTGGCAGGGCTGGCATCTCGGTAATAATCTACACAAGTCTTGTAACCAAACAGGTGGGAAGTGAAACGCTCGTCAAACTCACGGATGGTCCGTGCCTAGAACACAGACAAGAATGAGACAATGAAGAACAGGAAAATTAATGAAAGTGTTAAAAGCTTTAAATTAATCCCCTAACTGCAGTAAACAGAATGAATCATGACCATTAGCCAAAACGAGAGAGGTACAAAATGGAGACCTTTTCCAGGTCTTTTAGAAGGTAAAGAAGGTTTGATGTCAACAGCATCACAGTTCATGTGTGTAAACATTGAGCTTAAAATCAGCTATGATGACTTCATTAAGTTCCAAAGCACTTTAGCTGTGAAACCAAACATGTTTAATCAGTTAGTCAGAAGCATCATTTAGCAAATAAGGGTCAAACTCCAGTCGTCAAGGGCTGGCATCCTGCCACTGGTCCAACAAATCACTAAATGAACTCCTCAGCATGCTGTCAAAACCTCCAGAGTTGTGCTAATGACCTAATTATTTGACTGAGGTGTTTTAAAGCAGACTTTGATCTGAAAGAAGCAGGACACCGGCCCTAAAGGACCGGAGCTTAACACGTGGGATTTAGGCTGAAGAAATAAGATTGTCCAAGAGAACTTTTATATCATGCATTTGAACCCCTTAAAAACTTATATCTGTAATCACACAACACATTTCATAAATCTAGCAGTTGTATTAAGTGTTTTAACAAATTACAGAAAAATCCTGAAGTGAAAAAACGAGAAGGGTTACTTCTGGGAAGAACACTGTAACATAGTGATAGGTGGGAGGTGGAAAGGATGAGAAATTCATATCACTCACCACCAGATGTCCTACTTGATCACTGCATCAATGAGGCCTCAAGTAAAGCAACAAGCTTCAACATAGCCCCGACTAGAGCATCACTAGTTGGGCACCTTTGCTGGACTGGCCCACAGCACTATAGATCCTCCATCATACTTAACTATGTGCGTTTAGCAATAGTCTATCAAAACCTCCAGTCAAAGCCTGAAGAGAAACATACATTCTAGCTTTGCAGGACTTGTGCAGTAGATGGTTCGACCATGTTAGTGAATAACTGAGTTTGAGAATAATTGCTACAGCTTACAGCAATGCCCTGTTTTTGAAATACTGCATTAAAATAAAACACCTTTACCTTAAGATGCAATCGTTTGCTGCAATTATCCAATAATTATTTATTTTTTGATTATTTCATTTCCATGTTCTTCTCTGTTCTTGATGGTAAATTAACAGGCATCCTTGACCAGCCTTGTTTGTCATATTTACCATGAACTTCTTAATTATTGCTCTTAAAGTGTCGACAATAAAGTAGGTTTATCTGTCATGTCAAAGTTGAACCTCGGGGAAATAGGAATCAGGTATAACTAATTAAAATTTCAACTTAAAAGTAAAGTACAATTCAAAAAATAAATAAATACATTTTTGGGTTACATTTATTTTTCAGGTATAAACTGTTTCAAGGATCACTTTTTGAAAAACAATAACAATAATTTAGATTTCTTTTTCTCCACTAAGTAAATCTAGTACAATACATGAAAACATAAAACTATGTCACTGTCCTAAAAACAAAGATAAATATATACAATATAATAATTGTGAAAGATACAGAACATTAGGTTAAAAGAAGCACCTTCAGGACGTAGTCCACATCCACCACTTTCTCCAGAATCTTCCTGTGCCTGAAAGAAATAAACAAAACAGCATTTAGTTTCCTTTTACAACCAAGTCTGCGCATTTAGCTGTACTTTGGTACATTTAAGAGTACAACAAACTATGCAACCTAGAAACTTTTTGACGCAGGCCGTTGGTGAGATGTTTGTTGAAAAGAAGCCAGTTGAGAGGTTCCTCCATCGAGTCCGATGACCTCAGTGCATCCCAGGCTACGGAGATCGTGATGCCTGCCACCATTCCTGACTCTGTGCGCTTACGGGCCAAATAGTTTAATAATATCATACTAAAGAAAAGAAGAAATGGGGGAAAATTAACTAGTTGGATCTCATAGAGATATGCTGGACTGATCTCTAACCACTCACCCTCCAAGAGATACACCAGCACCAAGCACAGGAGCCTGAGGGTACAAGCCTTTCACATGCTGCACCACTCGCTCCAAATCTGAAGTATTAGCAGCGCAGTAGGTGACGGGAGTCTGAAAGAAACACACATTCAAAAGAGGAAGTGTTAGATTAACAGTGAGAAGGCTGGACTTCCTTTATAAATATTGTTGCTAGCAGTTGCTCTGTCAACTCTCAGATTGTCGGTCAGTTACATTTCTTACACTGAGCATCCAAATGTATTAAAAAAAGGGTAAAAAATAAGAATATTACTCACAGATAAATATATTTCATTTACTTAAGAGGTCAGGCAAAGCGACAATAACTATTAAAAATGCAGAGTGCTTCTTCAAGAGAAATAAGAAAGAAAATTTGTAAATTTATAGTAGCCGAATGTTCTTCATTAAGAAGAGTGTTTCATTAAAGCATTGTCTAAAAAAGCCAGAAATAAAACAATATTAGAAGCAAACGATTATAATGTGTCAAAATCAAAAACAGATTCTATGAAGTATAATTCTATGTTCTTCCCTCTTTTATTTATCCCAAAAATGTGATTAATTATAACGAGAAATCGTTATAAAAAAAAAAAAAACTATTTTCTAGATTTAAAACAATTGAAAGAAAAAGAAATCAATAACTCATCTTCTACAAAGTTGAAATCCATAGATGTTTTGGGCAAAAATGTACTCTCATTAAATACATCCTAACATTTTTTAAAAAAAAATAAGAACATTGAATACATTTTTAAAAAAGGAAATTGGAAAAAAAAAAATCAGAAGATATAAATAATGATTAATATACATTTTATAATGACAAAGTATCTTAGCTCTTTACATCTTTCACATTTATGAGCTAAAAAGGGTGAAATAATAATAAACTTTAAAAAAGCCCTGAAGTAGTCTAGAAGTTAAAAATACCGTCACCTACCAACAACTCCTCCCCTCCTACTCCTCTGTTGTTGAAGACTACAGATCTGGAAAAGAGTCGATAAATAGAGATTCTGTCTCTAAAGGAAACATGTCAGCTGATATTAAATACAGCAGTCAGTCAACATGCATTAGCTGACTTATCTAATAGTAAAGTCTGAACAGAAACTAGTCTGGCTTGCTCCCTCCCTACTACTGGACACACCCTGTTATGAGATACAAACAGTTTTAAAATACATTGATCTAGTCTTACAGCAGATACATTTTGAAATTAAAAACTGAAAAAAAAAAAACTTTACTTTCAGGATATTTTAAATGAGGAAAGTACCTGTTTAGTTTCATATACAATTCAAGTAATTGAAACAGATTTTATATTTTTGCTCAACTTTTTTTTACTTGTTAGGAATAACAAGGGGCTTTTATTTTGTAAATACTTGTTATTTTGTAAATGCGACTTAATGCCAAGTCATTCTTCAAAACCCTTAAATTGGGCACAAATGTTAATTTTCATGAGTTAAAGGTTACGAGGGATTAGATATTGACATAATTTCTGCACATCAACAAAAAAACAATGTTTAAAAGAAAAGGCTCAAGTTTAAATATGTGGCCAAAACACTACCGAGGCTCAAGCTTTTTAAGAGCAGCTTTTTTAAAATCTTTTTAATCACACTAACTACGCCTTGTCCACTGCTAACTGTTGTAAAGGATCTATGATGCTGTGGGCTCATCTCTTTTCAAAAGAATCTGGAAACCCTGCTAAGTGTGTGTAGTGTTGAAAGATTAAACCATATTTACATAAAAAATGTCCCTTTGAATAAATGTGCTTAAGCATCACAAGTAATAATATTAATTCAAATATGCCAAGTGGAATATATCTCTTATTCTGGTGTTTGTTTATTTGTTTGTAGTAGTTTCAGGAGCAAAGCCTACCTGTAACCCCGTCTTGTTGCTTGGCTGACAGCGTGAAGCACGTAAGCCTGTTGGCTGTTCCCCGTCAGGCCTGGTAGGATCAGCACAGTGGGACGAGTTTTGGCTTCAGGGTAAGTCCTGCTGGTATGGTTGTCAACCCAGTCCAAGGAGATCTGACCACCATCAACAGTACGAATCAGCTCACTGGGAAGTAAAGTCAGTTCACGTTATTTCATTTTTAACTCACTCATCTGTCTGATAGAAAAACAAAGCGTTTGTTCTTACTTTCGATAAAAGACAGTGGGTTTTGATTTAAGCAGCGCACAGACCAGCGTCTGCAGCCGCCCTCCCCAGCACCAGGGAGTGGGACAAAACCGCTCCGATACCACAGGACAGTGCTTATAGAGAAATGCACTGAACGCTTCACTGCATATTAAGACGGGGATCTGAAAGATAAACAGAACAAAAACACTTACAAAGCACAGGAGAAAAGATTAACACCATTTTATGAAACAAAAATATGTGCAGCATTAAAACATTATTCAGCTAAAGCACTACTTTGCAAGCGGTATTTTTTTACTCTTTTGATTTAGAAAACTTACCTTATTTCAGTGGTATATAAAAAAGCCTTTAAACATCATGAAAGACGAGGTGTCTGAGAATACTTTTATCAGTCCTATTATGTTCACAAACTTGGCAAAAGTATATTTTTTCGTAAATGTTATAAAAGATAAAAACAGTAAGAAATAAATATGTCAATACTCTGATAGCTTTAAGGTCTTTGGTTTCATAGAATTAGATCTTGCCATATTACTTCATTAGCGATGATTAAACACTTTAAGCAGAAGTATCTGGGTCAAAATGATTCTTTAAAGGTATCTTGAGAGTTTACAATGAGATGCTTAGAAACCAATGTAATAAACCTTTCTACAAGAAGTTTCAGTTAAAAGTTACAAGTTGGAAGGGCTAAACATAACTTTAGATTTTTGTTAGAATAAGTTATATTGGAACTAGGGCTGCAAATCGATTAATCTGTCAAATATTTTTTTGATTAATCGATTAATAATCAGATAGCAAAAGGTTCTTTAAAGAAGACATTTTACAAAATTAAACCAGGTGCAACTAAAACTTTTCCACTTGAGGAGATCTGGATAGACCATGTTGACAGAGGAAAAAGTTTTTTTTTTAATCTTAAATGCAAAATGTTTACATATTATTATGTTTTTTTTTTACAATTTTGGTAATTTTGGCTGCTCAAGGTGGGTTGCACTGGCATGTTTAAGAGTCCCTACACTCCATTTAACGAATAATCGATACTAAATTAGTGGACAATCATCTCAATAATCGATTAAATCACAATTCATCCGATTAATTGTTTCAGCCCTAGTTTGAACTATATTGCAATAATCTCGATTATATATATTTAAGAGAAAACTTTAAGAAAAAAACAGTTTGAGAGGATTTAAACCAGATAAACTAGAAAAGAGGTAAAGACTGAATAAAAAAAATTAAGAAATAACCAAAAAAAAATGTAACACTAAGTAAAAGTGTATTTAGCATCGAGTAAATTAATCAGTTGTTCAACTAAAGAATAATAATATGGATTTTACTATTACAAATAAATAGTAATAACAAACAAATGCGTTTATTAGGGGGTTTAGAATAATAGAATAAGGGCAATTATTTAAAATGCTGACAATTAAGAGCCATTTGGTGCATTTAAAAAAACGTCTGTTTTTTTTCAGGCGGGCGGATTTTTTTTATGGAAAAAAATACAAATTAAAATATTGAGAAGATCGTTATAAATAGGTGAGAATAGAAAAAAGCGCATAATGCAGCTATAGCTGCTCAGCCAGAGCGCTGTGACTGACCTGACATTTGCGGCCCCACAGATAGTACAGAGCGGCTGTCAGGGAGCAGATGAACACCGTGTATGGCCTGGAAACACACTCCCAGTATGTTCTCCACAGCTCCACATTGGTTAAATACATGCCCGTGACCTATGGCTATCCTTCAACACAAACCTTAACCAGCCGCGCCAACACGGCTCGACACAGCAAAGAACTGACAGACAGAAAATAGTTAAAGTAACCTCCGGGAACCTGCCTTCATCCCCACCAGCTACCGATCAAAGGCCGCTTCCAGATTCCCCTTTGCTGCGATAAGTCCCATCAGCTGTGATAATGGTGGAGTCCACCTGCAGGCCTTTTTTTTTTTCTTTTGGGCCGGTATCTTCTCCGAAAGGAGACCCGCTTCCGGGATATTAGCGTTACTGACGGTAACTGAGTTTGAACCAATCAGCGTTGACGTTTCATGAAAGACCCGCCTTCTGTCCTTCTTTGCCCTACATCATATTTCTGATACGCTTTAGCGCCACCTCCAACGGTGTGGAGATTACCTGTAAACGCAGTTACAAAGGCCGTGAAGTTGATTGCAACATTTTTGAAGTAAACTAAACACATTTTCTAATGGGTGAAATACTCTAATATTTTTACATTCTTGTTTTTTATTATTTAATGCATGACTAAGAAACAAACAAACAAAGAAATTGCATATACTGTAAAAATATTTAGTTAAACAGAGGTGTCAAAGTATTAATGTTTGTTACTCAAGTAGAAGCATAAATCCTACTGTTTAAAAACACTTTTGTGCAAGATAGAGTATCAACTTAAGCTTTTTACTAAAGTAAAAGTACCTGTTTTAAAACTACTAAAAGTAAAGAAAGTAAAAGTAATGCAGGGGGAAAAAATTAAGGAACATTCTTCTACAGTTCTGGATGATAACTTCTTTATACTTAATTTTTTTATTTGTTGGCACCGTTTTCAACTTTACTTTTGCTTCTTTTTGAAAACTGTTTTTATACATGGCCAAAAATTAAGTTGGTGCAGTACTGAGTCCAACCACAAAGAAATTAATAGTCTGAATGGGGCAAATTATTTTGATTGTTTTATTTAGTTTTTTTTGCCATAACAAAAATGAGTTTAAATGAAACAGAATTAACAAGTTCATTTTTAAAAGTAAGGAGTAGAAAGTAAAGATAATTGCAAGAATAAATAAGGAGTAGAAGTAAAAAGTTGTCTACTCCAGTAAAGGTTAGATATTCTAAATTTCTTTACAAGTAACATAACTTAATGTAACTACTGTTAAATTAACGTTCTTTAATTTTTTCTTTTTTTTTGTTTACTCTTTATTTAAAATTAATTTTTGATGCCATATTTACATAAGCTGCTGTGTGGATTTTCAAGCATCATGCTGTTTATATAATAAAGTCACATAATGACCTGAACTTTTTAGTTTCCAATGATTTTCTAAATTTTACAAAGAAGGATGTTTCCTACCCTCTTCTCTCTGAGAACCGCAAAATAATTCATGTATCATTGTAGCTTAAAAAAGCTAGATAATCATGGATAAAAAATCTCAACATTAATCACAAAATCTCAATGATTTTGAAATAACAATTTCCTTGTTAATGACATTTATTAAAATAAAAAAAATGTGCTTCCTTTATAACCAGTTCTGTGCTGAAAAAAGTGAAATGAATAAACATTTAATTGAATTTTGAAATTTCTATTACCATGACTTATTTAGTAGAAAAGCACTGATCCATTTTCTTTTTTCACACCAATCCAATACAAATACCTGGACTGGATGTATTGGCTGACGTGATCAGTTCCTACTGTTGAATTAATAAACACTGATAAAGAATTTACTAGCTTATAAACACGTTTCGATTCAAACACTAGTTTTAGAAACATCACCCACCAACAGTAGGTTTTCTTTTTGTACTTGCACTGTGCACACCACCGGAGGGGGCCTTTACCTTGACTGAAAATGCAAATAACTAATAGGAACTTAACCTGAAACATATTTATGCTTTGTGTTCCCCCCTAGACCATACTGTCCTGGGCAGACATATGCATATGGGAAATATCAATACCCATCATTGCTTATATAATTGTCCAAACATCATAAACTTCTTTTGGTTGGTATTCTCTTTGGTACTTTGAAATTTGGCAAATTAAATGCAATTCAAATTATATGGTGTTTATAAAGTTTGTAGGTTAGGAAATTACAAATAAAATTGATTAGATCCACAAAGCTGACATTCCCATGTACCATACTTTTTTATTTGATATCTTTTATCAAAAACACTTTTTGAAAGTATGAGCAAATAACTGATATAAAAATGCCATGAATAAAAAGGAATATTGTGTTTGATTGTATTTCAGGTTTATTAAGTGCTAAGAGAATAAAAAATAGGTGATAGATGTAAGGTTCATTATGTTGTTTATTTTGATACAATTATATGTGAAAAAAAGCCCAAAAAAATGCACCCTCACCTCACATTTCAATGTGGTTTTTGGAGCTTTAAATAAAAACTGAGTGAAAACAGTTTCCAAAATAATTTCAGATTTGCTATAATCAAGAAAATGTTCTCCTTTAAAACAATCTAAAGGAACAGTCATCGCATTACTGTGATAAAAATCCTTTATGGATGATAATTCTGGATATGAATTTGCAGATCACATGGCTTTTGGTCTTTAATCTTACAAAGAAGCTAAAATATATGATTTTGAAATCAATTAGTTGAGGGGGATTCCTGCGACCACCTCAGATTCAATCCCACATTCATCATTTCCACGTCTGATTTTGAAGAAACCTGTATAAAGAAACAACATGTGAACATTGTTTTCTGCACCAAAACTATCACAGACTCTGCACGTTTTTTTCAAAAAATATATAACTTAGAAACATTGCATGTTCACTTTTACCTTTGTCTCCCCAGTCATTGTTCCAGGAGTTTGCAGCCAGCCAGTAGGGGGTGCCATTCTCCTCCCCCCAGCCCAGGAGCTTGATGGCATGACCTCCCAGAACTCCTCCAGTTACATGCTGATACACACCTGCTCAGGAAGAAAAAAATCTCAATCAGTTCATCCACCTGATTCATTTTAAAGCAGTATATTTGCCATTAAGCAGAACTCTCTTATGATGTCAACTTTAAAGTACCTCCATACTTGGATTTAAAGTTGTACTAAAAATATGAAATTTAGACAAAAGGACTGATGTTAAAACCTGCTTTGCAACTTTTGTTTCATACAAAGGTATATTTTGGCTCTGGAGCCCAAGAGAGGAAATTATACCAAACCAGCTCATTATGGCATTCAAATTGTCCTTAAATATGACTTAAACAGATTTAATAAAAAAATGCTAATTGACCTACAAATATAAAGTTCTGAAATGTGTATACTTCACATTAGTGGATATATTTAATTGTAGAGTGGAGTTTCATATATGTTCAGTTGGTAAAGTAAAAGACTAACCAGATTTATACAGTGGAAAATCCTCAAAGACGGTAAAGGCTGCCTCCACAGGCCCGTACTTATACAGCTCAGTCATGATCTGTTCCTGAGCCGATGGGACGCTGTATGAGCGCTGACCTGAAGGGGGAAAACGAACGAGAAAGCTTGGAGTCAGATGCAAGGCAGTCAATAGCAGAAGACTATATCAAAATGATCTACCAAAGTGTTTGTCCTTGGGGTATGATGGTGAATATCCATCAGCGCATTGCTGCAGACATTTAGGGGTCTCTGTTTCGCCCTGACATGGAGGACGAGTTCCGTTTACATGGTGTTCACACGGGGCAAGAGAGTAGGGTCTGCAACCTGGAACACAAACACACAATCAGCGCTTTAGACATCTGGTGCCCAAAAACTGTACTGAACTTTAAAAGCAAGGACTGTAAAGTTGGATAACCTTACCAACTTTGGAGTCATACAGGCCTCCTGTCACGAGTCCACTTTTTGTCCAGAACTCCCAAGCAGCGGATGGGAAGCCACCAAAGCAGCTACAAACACACAAAGCCACAGTATGCTTTACTTTAAAAAGCCTTTGAAATGGAAATAAACATGACAGATCAAGAAGGAACAACAAGGTAGTAAGCTTAGCCTTTTCTCTTTGGTCTGAATAAGGCTGGAAATAGTGAACATTACAAATGAGCAATTGAATTGTCTACATAAATATGTCAATGAAATTTTAAAAATGTAACTTTTGTACAGAGAAAGAGCGAAAAGTGTTGCTTGCAGGCCTAACAGCAGCAAAAAAACAAATTTTTCAGAGATGGCTCCCCCCACACAGGCTTCTTAATAAAAATGGCTGTTATACTTTCAAGATGTTATAATGATGGAACTGTCTACTGCAAGAATCCATACGGCAAGAGTGTCAACCATACAAATTTGGGAAAAAACTGCAAAGGGAGTTTCAGACTTGTTGGCGAATCATGCACATGCTTTGTCCTTTTTTTTTTTTTTATTTTTTTTTTTTTTATGTGTATTGGGTCATGTGATTTGTAGCTAAGGTTGGGGTGGGGCGGGTGGGTATTGATCACTGACTTTGTAATGTTCCAGTTTCCCAGCTTGGGAATTTGTTCTTAAATAAAAAACAGTGAATTAAAAAATAAAAAATTAACTTATGAGTGCAGATGGGGTGGGGGTGATGTACATTTAAAGTACCAATTAAAAGTTAGGGTTGCTTTATTTGTGCTACTTTATTGATTAATAATATCTTTTTATAAACATATAAAGCTCTGAGCTAAATCCTGGGCTGTTCCCAGAACTTTAAGTTCTTACTAATTTTATTAAAGAGATAAGGTCATTTTTATAAACGAGCTTTTAAGGTTGCAAGATGTAGGAAATGATAGTTATCAAATGTCCTAATTCCTCAATCTTTTCTCTAATATCTTCTGTCTAAACCTAAAACTTACTTTATTATGAGGTTCAGACAAAGAAATGATTTGTTTGCAAATTAGAGTTTCTATGATTGATTAACCTACCTAAATAAGCATGCAAATCATTAAAGAAACACTTATGGAGATCTTTTATCCACTGTCTGTGTATCTTTGAAAAGTTTCAAAGTAAACAATATATCATATTTCTTTCTACAAAATATGTGCTATAAGAGGAGATAAAAGAGTTTGATGCAGCAATAACAGTCTTTTGAAAGATACTTGAAGGGAAAATTTAAAAAAAAGCTATGCTTTGAAAAGTGTCAATAGTAATGTAAAAACTGCTGGGTTAATTAACAGCAGAGTTAATTTCTTGAACCAATTACAGAATTTGTGATAGAAGTTTATCTGTTTTAACCAACACTGGTTCTAGTATTCTGTCCCTGTTTGTCAGGTAAGAAAGAACACAAGACGGCTTATCATAATTCTTCACAAATCGCTGATTTTTACTTTACTAGAGCCATCTGATCTGACTCCTCTAAACCTGGAATAAGGATTGGTCAAATGGTAGAGTTGTACTACACAATAATATTAGTGTTGGGTTGTATTAAGGACCTATTTTCAAATTAGAGATCCAGTTTGTTTACTTTAGATGGCATACTGAATATTTAATTAGACAGTTGTCTTTATTTTGAGTTTGACTTAACTAAAGATAAAAAACTAATTTAACCCCAAATTCTTTTTCTTCATTAAGTCAGATTATTTGCTATTCTTTTAAACCCATTCGTCCTCCCTTAAATTGGAAACTTATTCCATGGTCCATACTAAACAGCGGACTGGATCAGTGAAAATAGTTTAAAGTGCATCAGCAACACCACAAAATAAGTAAATCATTATTATTATTATATTTTTTTTATTTGTAATTCTAAATAAAGTAGATATTTATGCAATTTGTAGATTTGGACCAGTATTGTCATATTTCATGCTGTGCTTCCACCTTTTTGGCCAGGTCTCAAAGTGCAAAAAAAATATTAATCTTTATGGGATTAAGCTGGTTTAATGACCTGTATTTCTATGGTAAATAGTCTGTTTTGCTTTACTCTACATTCAGTCATTCATACACTGATGGTGACAAGCTACATTGTAGCCACAGCTGGCCTGGGGCTCTCTGACTGAAGCGATACTGCTGTACACAGGTGCCACTGGTCTTTCTGACCACCATTAGAAGTTAAATTATGTCATCTTCTTGATATTTGGAAGCTCATTCGTGCTGTTTAATGTTGATCATTCTGTTCTTTGTTGATGACGCTCACCCCATTCCACACTCATCACAGCAGGTGAGCAGATCTTCAGCAGATATCTCCAGGGAGACCTTACCATCACTTTGGATACAAAGCCTGTCAGATATTGCTTCCACTGCCCCGAAAGCCTGTAGCAAAAGTAAAGATCAGTAACCAAATAGTATGAAATAAATGGTTTTATTCTTAACTGTCTGAACTTTTCTTACCCAGCAAGATCCACAGGAGCCCTGATCCCTAATCTGTTGGAGGGTGGGGCAGTTGGGCCACTGTTGGCGAGGGTCAAAGCTGTCTGGAAGGTTTATACCTTCAATGTTATGAACCCTAAAGGAGAGAGGAGATGAGCTGTTACACTCTGCAGGTAATAAACCTGTAGAGTGTCACCTGCCTGGTCATGTGAGGGTCTGAACACTCACATCTAACACTAATCACCATGAAGCTCCTAAAACTTACACCTCTGGCAGCTTGGGTCCTTTCAGGATGGTCCCACAAAGCCCTTTAACGTAGCTGATGTCAACATTATAAAAGTTTTGTCCAGCCTAAAGCAGAAATAGTTGAATTAATACAGATAAACGGTCAGGTTAAGACTGCAGTAGGTGACAGTGACATTTTCAGATTAAAAATAAAACTAAAATTAAATGACCTCACCGTCCAGGTGGTGTTGGCTTTGTTAATATGGTTGATCATTTCTGAGGAGAAGTGAGAGAGATGTGGGTGGGCCCAGGCTATGGAGCCGGTCACTGCCACACAGAGCAGGAAGAAAGGATGCATCCTAAAAATAAAAAATTGCATCTTAAATCATCATAAATGGAGAAAAAATAGCTGTAATCCTGCTCATCATTGTACTTTTTATTCTTACATATTATAGTAGCCTACTTGTTAACTTAATTGTAATTGATTAATACCACAAACACAGTCACATGCAAGTCAGGGCTAACATAATTAATACTGATTAGAAATCAGTTCAAAACATTTTTCTTATAGTAACTTTTAAGATCTAAGCCTGACAATGATCTTTTCCCCTATTTAATCTGCACATATTTACAAAGTGTCACAGAGCAAAATGGATGGCTGCAGTCAAAGTCGCCTTACCTGTGTTCCTCTTTCAGAGCTGAAGGCTTTACTTCACTGATGTTCTCTTTTCCTTCAAAGGAACAATGTCTGCTGCAACTATTTATACGAAAGGCAAAGTCATAGAATCACATGTTTGTGTAATAAACATATAATAGCTGCTCATCTCATGTGACCAGAGAAGCTCCAAAGGTTTACTGCTACTCTTTAAGGTAGGATACAGGTGAGAACAAAACATATATATATATATATATATATATTTATACATATATATGAATACTCGTGTTTTTTTCTCACCTGTGTACCTCTAGGAGTAGCAGTAAACCTTTGGAGCTGCTCTGGCTGATTAACCCATGCAGAAAATCAAATCAAAGATAGTCTAATAAACCTCAGAAAAAGTAAGAAACAAAAACATATAAAATGTTAACCATCTTGCATAAATCAGAAGCAGCTACAAATAAAAAACTATGTGTTTAATATTAACACAGCTGACAAAAAAAAAACTATGAAATTTTACAGTGCTGAGAAAATATTTTTTCATCAGTGTCCTGATTTTTAGTTTACGAACCTTTAGAAATTCCTTTTTTTTTTTTTTTATTCCTTGTTGACAGCTGTCAGGGACTATTTTCTTCCCTTTTTTGTTTAGGGTAAGATGTTGATTTAGAGATCCTTCCATTAGGACATGATCCTGGGTCAGACCAGATTTTGAGTAAATGTTTATGCTTCCACAATAAAAGAATGGCACCATACTTCAGCTTTATAGTTTAAAGAAATAGATGAAAACATTGCAAGTGATTGTCTTATTGCTATAAAAGATATCTTGACGATCACAAAGATTTTTGCAGGGCATTTTAGACATTACAAACAACAGGGAGACTTTTAGGACGGTGTTTGCCCAGTTATGTAAGTGTGAAACAGACAGCGTTTAAGAAAACGACAATCATGCAAGGTGGTGGTAAGATGCTGGTTTGCTGACTAAGGACCTAGAGACCTCAATGCTACTATCAGAGAACTACAGATTCTGTTATCAAGTCATAAAATCCTAAAGTACAATTTCGAGTTCGTAATTTTTAGCTGAAGCAGAACAGTGATCTTATATTCACCCGCAATATTTTGGAGTGGCACTGTCAAAGTTTCTGTTGAAATATATTCAAATGCTAAAAAAATGACCTTAAAAAGGCCACTTATGCTTCAACTTTACATTTACTCTATAAATTTATTACAATTATACAGAAAATTGATATTAAGTAGGGTCAGGCTTATTTGGATAGCTTTTCCCCCTGATAGATTAAATTTCCATGGTAGCCATGTTACTCAGGTTCAAAAAGAGCAGAGGAAGTGGTGCTATAGTAGGGATGTCCCAGTGCGATATCAACCAGAACATTAATACCAGGATTTATCAGCTTGCATCTAAAACCTGTGACATTAGCATGCTGAGGGAAACGCTCCACTTCTGTATTTAAGTTGTGAGTTGTTCTCCCACCTGTTTATGTTGGCAGTTATTTTCTGTGTGCATAATATCGCTTGATCAAAACTGATGTTTTCCTTCTACAAAATTAGTTTAAAAAGTATGTATGATTGGTGTTGATATATCGGGACTCAAAGCTGTAATACCGGTTTCATATTAGAAATGAAAAAGTTCTATCGGGACTTCCCTATGAAATAGTAATAATTGAAGATTTTCAGTTCAGTTTGGCATAAATTTTCCATTATCTAACCTTTGAATTTTATCAAAGCAATTCATCTTTGACCCAAAAAAGAAGCTCCAAATCAGATTTCAGAGAGATTGCATTTCTTTATTTCCTCAAATATGTACAAATGAAAACGTCACATTACATAGCAATGCTTGTAACTCTCCTTTGGTTCTGTACAAGGTTACTTAGTGCTAGCCTTTCTACTCACCAAAGCTGTTAAGGACACTTTGCTAACAAATTCCTTTTGTTCAAAATATATTTTCCTTTTTTTCCCCATTTATTAATGCATGTGTGATGTAACTAGCAGATAAATATTTCCTCTGTATTTCTGAAGAAAGTCCAAACTGAATGAAATAGAAAATTACCTAAATCTGTTAATGGAATCTGTCTGTGATCAAACAGTGCAAAAGTTAACATTCTTTCAAGTGTTTCTCACAATTGGGATTATAACATAATTATATACAGCTAAAAGGTTCAGACAGAATTCAACCTAAGCTTCATAAAGGTCAATGGCTGTTCCCTACAATCCTAAAATCACCTTTTGCAGCAAATGCATGGTGGATGAGAACATATCAAAACCAAAAACGTTTTTGAGGTCATGCTGCAAATAAGAACCCCGAAGTTCAGCCAGTCTGTGGTTCTTTAACAGCCAATGTGGGAAGACATTGCCCAGGTTTCCAAAGAAGGAGCAGGACTAAAAGTCCAGAGAGGGGAGAGAAGCAGCATTTTCCAGTCTGTGAGCTACAGGAAGCGTCACTGCATGTCCCCGGTGCTCTGCGCCGGGGCAGCTGTAGTATTGAGATACTGCCAGCTCAGAGCAGCCAGCAGCATGGCAGCTGACAGGTACACAGGAGAAAGGTGGTGGTTCCTGGAGCTGAGGGCGGGCTGCGGGAGGGCCGATTTCTCTTGGATCAAAGCCAGGATGTGCAACGTCTTGTCCCTCGACGGATCATTGAGGGAGACCTTCTGTAAGATCTGGACAAAAGAGAGGACAGTGGTTCAGTAAGTCTATGTGGTGGAAGCTGACAGAGAAAGACTGATCCTACAAACCTCCTGGCTGTACTGGGCGATGATGGTCTGCACAGCGCTCATGTTGGTGGCTTCCATCATGAGGGTGACAGCCTGGCCCTTTCTGATCTTCACCACACCCTGAAACACCATGGGGTTGTTGTAGCATGTTGAAAGGGTAGCTATGGCCATCACCTGGTTAACAGAGGAATTACATCTCATTAGTCTACGGAAGGAGAAGGGACAGTTATTGCTTTAATTCTAGAAATAAGATTATTTTTTTTTTTTTTTTTTATCCTTTTGATATAAGGAAAAAGGCATTTAACAATCAAAAATCAAGAATATTAGGCAATGCAAAAAACATCAGACAACCCTTATTTTCTTCAATTTTTCGCTTTGAGGTTCTGTTGGCTGAATAACACGATAAACACTGAAAAAATGCTGTTAAAATATTTTTTCCATGACGGTATTTGGATACCTGAGATCACTACCAACACAAAACCAATGAAAACAAGTAAATAAACAAAACAGTACCAGGTTTTAGAATGTGGGCAATTTCTAGAGTAACTAATATTTATAAATTAGTAGTTTGGATGTTAGATCCACTCAAGAACTATGAGTTCCTGAAAAAGGTAGATTTTTCTTTTAAAGATGACACCTTTGGCTATTTCAAACCTTAGAAACCTTTTAGGGAAGGCCTTGGTGCTCAGTATAAAGCGTAAGTCACAATGCACTCCTCACTAGGTCAATTTGGGCACTACTTTATAACTCAGGGATAAATAGATCTAAAAATGGAGGCAACTGATTTTTGTTTTTAAGACAAATTTGACACTTTTATTCGGTTCCGTTAATTTTCTTTCCCTCTGATGACATTATTAATGTTTATATATATGAAACACTGGGGCATTAAAGAAAAGTCCGGTCATATTCAGAATTCAAACTTCTGAAAGTACTTTAAATATGAAATTATTACATGCAGTTCAATAAATGATAAGTGTTTTTAATTAAGAGTCATTTTCATTTGAATGTGCTTTACCAGAGGCATCCATGTTTGTCAAGGAGCACTACTGCCACCTACTGGTTTATGATGTCATCGTCACAAACCGGTAGGTGTGCAGTATGGGCTGTTGATCAAGTCCCAGTGCTGTATCTGGTGTTTGTCACAACACGCTATTCTCCAAATGATCTTGAAAACATTCTTCTTCGAAATGTTGGCTACATATTACATGTTTTTCTCTGGCCAGAAGTTCAATGGCACATCCTCCCTCTTCAAGTTCTCAATTCAACGACAAAATTTTTTTTTTCACTTTACCTGATGTATTTCAACATCCAACTGCCATGCACATGGGCATTGTCCATTTAACTACAGCTCTCGTGAATTTCAATGGTGAAGTCCTCTCGAAATCTTCAATAATTGTTGTTGATTGCAGATGGGTCTAGTAGCTCCCATTGATTTTGCTTGTAAAGCGGGGAGAATAGCCCTAGGCTTACCGCACAGTGACATCACTGCCCAGAGATGTCCGGAGTGAGGTTTTACTACGTATTAGTTTTAGGTACAGATAATGATCCATTGATTATTCCTTGCTGACCGGACTTCTCCTTTACATAAAAATCACCACATTGTTAGAGTAGAAGATGGTCTTACTTGAGGAATGGCACAGAAATTGAAGACGCTTTGGTTGCGCAGCCGAGACAGGTAGGCAATGACATCAGGGACGTGACGCAGAGCATCTGTGACCAGCAGGTTGAGGCAGGACAGAGCAGACTCCAGCTTCTCAGGCTGGGCCAGATCCTCCAGGCGACTTGCAAACTGGCTCCATGCCTGCACAGCAACACACAGGACAAGTTATTTTTTATGTTTTCTGCTGACACTCTTGATGTGTCACAGTAAAGAGGACTAGAGATCCAAAGCTAAGAAGGGGAGAATATATTAAGAAGACAAAGATTAATAGCTGAAATATGCACATCACTAATCTGGCCTTTATGGAAGAATTATGCAATGTTTGAAGCCTATTAAACACGTGCGAGAAGATGCACAAGCCCATTTCTCCTCGTGCACGCTCTGTTTAAAAGTTGCTGTTTGCTCGTACAAGCTTACTTTCTAAAAGAAGATTAGCAATTTTTATATGTCAGACTCACTACCGGTAAGTGAAAATGATGATGATGATTCACCCAGAAAAAGAACATCCTCCACTATACCTTTAATGGAACTAAATACAAGATAATTCTGAAGTGAAACTCAAAGCTAAATTGGTGATTCAACTTCTAGCTGAAAGCAAACGGTACGGTATAATCTGCATGCGACTCACAATCCTGAAAACAATAAAGCTGCCAAACTACAGTTCAGCATGTCTATGATCCCATGCAAAGCTAACATTTCAGTCTAAAGGCCTTCGTTCTTACCTCTTTAGGCCAAAAGGCCCGTCCCTCCTGTGTGTCTTCAAGATAGTCCCGGATGATGTTGGTTTTCTGAAGGAACAGGCCCATTGAGTTTGCCAGCTCTGTGTCCCGTCCCACCTCTGGATCCTCCAGCTGGGAGGCTGAGAAGAGCCGGGACAGACCAATACCAACGAGCCCAGCGACGTAGTGGCAGTACTGCACAGATCAAAGAAACACCACAAGGGTGTTATCACGGCATTAGTAATACACACTATGGCTGAGAGTTCCTATATGCTGACCCTGGATCAATTGTTGTAATTCTTCCTGTTGCTTGTAGATTATTAGAGTTATATAGAGTGCCAAAGCTTGAGTTAAAGCAGGGCCTTTAGTATGTTTAAGGTCTGGAAAATTAGATTATGGGGAGTATTTTAAAATTCTAAAATCAAAATAAATCAAATTAATTTGATTGAATAAAAAGGCTCTTTCTACTTTGCTTCCCTCTTTGCCTCATTCCTTCTTTATATCTTTCATTTCTTCCCATCTGTTTTTTCTACGTTTCGCATTTAAATCCTGCCCCCTCTATAACTATCTGCCATGAATTAACAATGAGCTTTTGTATTTATACATTACAAAATGCACCCAGGGGACTGAAAACACTGTTAAAAGTAATTTATTCTGTTTTGCACTTACCTGGTCCCACTCTTTCATGGATCCCACCTTCTTTTCCAGAAATTCAGCCATCCCGACTCCCATCCGGTGGCAAATATCTGAGATGACGTCTCTGTATTCCTGAGCAAGGTTTCTAAATTCAAGTGATATCTGGATTCAAACAATCAACGACAATCAAAGTTACTCTTAAAGAACAGCGTTAGGGGAAAAGAGCTCTGCAGGAGTCAGTGACTCTCTGTGGATGCATGTGGTGCTGCTAACCGTGGGGAAATCCTCCAGAACTTGACGATCCTTCTCATGACTCTCGGTGAAGCACCACTCCTCCTGGTACAGGTAGGTGTGGAAATTGTTAAGCATGGGCACCTTTTTCTCCAGAGGGATGGTCATGTCGTCTTCCACTGTGTCCAGCGCACGGAGAACAAGGTAGAAGATGCAAACCGCATGTCTGGATAAAGAAAAAATATGTAGTCCACATCTTGAGCTGATGCTCAGTAAAACTGGAAGGAGACTGGCTAGATACTCATTAGAGCAGGACTTTGACCGGGCCATTCTAACCTATAAATACCTCCTAATAACACAGTGAGGATGCTGTAGACAGGATCATGTGCAGCTAATTTTCTAAAATAGCTTCCTTTTTTTCCAGCACTGTCAAAGTTGTCGCTTTACCTAAATGCACATCTTGGGTAAAGCAAGTTTAATACAAATGCACACCAGACTTTTCCAAATGTTGCTATGTTTAACACATTTTCTCTTTAATAATAACAATGTTTTGACAAGAAACTATTAAAACCACTGCTTTAGAAAGGGTTGTGCAACAATTAATTGATGTTTTGCTGAAGGCATGCAGGATTTTACAAAACAACGAACAAAGTACACTTTGTTGATTGTTGTTTAGGACAGCAAATAACTGAATCAGTTATTGATTTGGAGGGTTGTTGACTGCTTTGCGAAAGTCAAACTAGTGCTAACTGCTTCTGGGTAGGCCCTGGCATGCACTGGATTCTTTTACCCTTTGAAGGCATACAAAAAAGGGCTGCATATTTCTTCACAGGTCTGGAGTTTCATAACGACAGACTCAAAACATGCAGATCTACTTCCACCATTCTCTACAATATGTTTTCCAAGGGAGGTCCCTAGATGCAGCCAGCAGTCACACCTCTCCTGACCTGCACAGGGGCGGAGCTAGATGGGGGGCCAGGAGTGGCCATGGCCACCCTTAGCCAATCATCGGCCACCCCTACCATTTTTTTTTCCTCTCATACAGATAGTGCCAACAGTAATACTCCCAACATTTTTTTTCCGTGGTTAATTACGCACATCAATATACTAACATCAAAGATGATAAATACAGAATTCATGCTCTTTTCAGAACTAAATTTTGTGTTATATGGGGTAAAGAGAAAATGATGTCTCTGCAAGTCATCTAGGAGTCTTTAGTGAAATCATAGATACATAAATTTTTTTTTTTTAAATTAGCAAATAATCAATTTATGTAGATATTAGTGCTTGTAAATATTAATTTTATGCAGAATATTTATTGATACAAGTAGGTAAGTAATGACAATGATTATTGATTTACACCCCATATTTTCTTTATTTAAAAAATGGATGTTTTGCTCATTAATTTTCCTGTTGGAACAGTGTAGAATGACCCTGAGGTCAGAGGCGTAGCCAGATTTTAACATGCGTGCTTTCTAGATGAAAGGTATAGTGGATAAAATACTTTCAGGTTTTAATTCTGGTGGGTAAATCTTTTCCATTGTCATTACTTACCTACTTTTATCAATAATCATTCTGCATAAAATTGATATTTACAAGTGTAAATATCTACATATTTTGATTATTAACTACGTTTTTATTAAAATAGTTATTTATCTATGATTACACCAAAGACTCTTAGATGACTGGTAAAGACGCATCCTTTTCTCTTTACCCCATATAATACAAAATTTTGTTCTGAAAAGAGCATGAATTCTGCACATATCGTCTTTTAATGTTAGTATATTGATGTGCGTAATTAACCAGTGTTTTTGTTTTCAAGAAATGATGAATACATGAAAAAATAGTAAGTAATATATGAAAAATTAAAATGAGTATTCCACTTGAGAGTATTACTGCTGTATTAGAGGGGGAAAATGGTAGCGGTGGCTGATGATTGGCTAAGGGTGGCCATGGTCACCCCTGGCCCCCCATCTAGCTTCGCCCCTGCGTGAGGTTCTGGTTCTTATAAAAAATGTCTGGCTACGCCTCTGGACCTGCAGCCACCTCAGATCTCTGACTCACCTCAGCTCTCCGTCCAGCGCCTGGATCACAGCCGCAAAGCTCCGACTGGTCTGGTTCAGATACACGTAACAGGTCCTCAGGCTGACGCTCATGGACTCCTGGCAGTGGCAAAGAAAGGCTGTTTGTCTGTAGAAAGCTGCTGCTCTGATGGCGTTACAGGGTCTGGCGGCCTCCTGCAGGCCCCTCTCCCCACGCCTCCCCCAGCCCTGCAGGAGGGACCGAGGAGAAGCTGAGCCGCAGCCTCGCGGCGCCACGGAGAGAGAGCGCTTTAAAACGGACAGAGAGACCGGACACTTGCAGCAGGCTCCGGCCATGCGGAAACCCTGACGGGAAGAGCCCGAGGCTGCAGTTAGGAAATGACACGGTCCATGTGGACGCCACGCTGCTTGGGGGACTTTCAAACCCCGAGTCCATGAGAAGGACAAGCGAGCAGAGAGGGGTCGAGCGTGTTGTAAAATCTTTGGAGGGCGTGAGGTCGCCGCGCTGATCTATAAGCAGCCTATCGCACCGTTAACTTAGCAGGAGCTGCGCAGAGCATTTGTAGATCTGTTGTTTTGATCAGGCGCACTCCCCCACCCCTCTGCCAAAAACACTGGCAGCTGCAACGTCGTTAGGAAATGCAACGGTTTGGACCTCCTTTGATCTAGGTTTAGTAAAACAGTCAAATAATTTTGTTTATAGATTTGTTTAAAGAATTTGTCATTTAAATAAACTTTACGTAAGCAATTGATTCCACAAAAAACACGAAAAAATGCGTAGATTAAGGGATTTCGTTAATACGAATGAGAAAAACGAACTACTCTGTTATAGGTTCATGCATGCACTGCGAAACTAATTTAGTTCTCCAAAAAAAATCAGAACAAACTCCTTAAAACCATTACTAGAGGAGGTGACGTTTTGCTGACACCTGGTGGATGAACGATGTAACTACATTAGTATATGTTTGCAGTAAAAGCTGTGTAATATCTTAGTTGAAAAGGCCGCAATGAAATGAAGAATTGATGTAAATCGATTATTTCGGATTTCTTGAAGTGAAAAAGGTCCAGTCGTCATGTTTAGGGGTATGTCTCTATTTCTGCCTTAATGATTTGGGTCAGCAAGCTTTTTCATTTTTTTTTTTTTTTGTAATATCAGCATTCATTAAGTGGTATACTCCTGGCAGAATATGTCAAGTCCTGCTGAAAAAAATTAAACCAGTATCTCTTAATAACTGGTCAGCAGAGCAAGGCAATATGAGCTTAAAAGTTTCCTTGTAATCAGCTGTTCTGATTTTTATTTCAGTAAATATAGATGATAATCAAATTAACAGTGAAAAATCCACACATGATCTTAAGCAGATTGGATTCTCTCCACTCTTCCTCCACACTCTGACCTTTTGAACAGGCCTTGCTATACATCGCCCCTCTGCCTTCTGTACCTTCTTTTACACTTTTTCCTTCCACTCAACTCTCCAATGATATGCTTGGTTTAAGATAAAAGATTATACCTACTCATCAGTGTTATGAGTAACTCCCTTGTAAAGGAGGATGTCAGTGACCGCTGTGTCAATAGTCTTTATTATGTAATCTAACATTTCAGATTAAAAAAAAAACAAAATTTTGCTGGATTTTTTTCATTTTTTGAAACACTGAATTCAGAAATGAACTATTGCAGCATATATCTATATCCCTCTATATGTAATATATCTATAAACATAACTTTATTAAAAGATTCACAAAAATACACCAGCATTTAATTCTAATTGTAATCAATTGAGATAGATTTGCAGTTTGCACTGTTGAATGCTGTTTTTAAAAACCGAAAATAATACAAACTTTTTTGCAAACTTCTGGATCAGAATCCAGTTTAATGTGAGGCCTATTATTACAATGCAAGCAGGTTTGTTTTTTTGGAAACTTAAGGTAAAAAACACTGTTTTCTCCAATGCATTTATGGAGATTGTGATGGAGAGTTTGATTTACGGTGAGCCTATAAAAAAAAAAAAAAAAAACATTTTATCCGAAAAATGGCTCACATATTCAAATATATTATTTTAAAGCACCAAATTTGTATTATATTAAAATGCATATACTGTAAAAAAACACTATGCATAAGGGGGTGTCTAAAATTTAGAAAAATAAATCCCAAGGAAAAAATTAAATACTCAAACCAAGGGAAATGATCTGTCCAAGAAAGGCAAGATAGTTTTACCTGACAAGATTTCTTGATTTAAAATTTCCATGTTTAACACCCAAAATTGGAAATGGTCTTAAAGCAAGATAAATTATTTACACTTCTAATAATTGTTGATCACGGGTGTTAATGCTACTGTCTAGAGATCACAATATCCATGCAGTCCCTTATGATGTTCTCCCTGTGCACAAATAAATAAATTATATCAAATATCAAATTATCCATGATTTTGTGGAGTATAAAATACTAGGAAGAAATTAGGAGAAGGTTTCAACACATTTTGCAGCCTGCTTCTTTTCTTCAGGTCACATTGGTGTTTAAACTGTGGGATTAGCATCTTCCCTTAGTGGTGAACCCTCCAAGCTCATTATAAAACTTAAATCCTACGTCAGTGGTCACCTCTGCCTGTGTGCAGACAGCAAGCACCGATTTAATTTGTCAAAGTCCAATTAGCTGAGTGTTTTCTCCCTTTTAACAGTGTACCTTACTGCACTGCAAAGTGACAGACATCCATTCAAAGAGGCCTTTGTGTTTATTCTGTAGATGTATGTGTTGCTCTAAAAAGCAGATCATATAATCTGCATGATACATTCATTGTCTCTAATGCAGTCTCAGTATTGAGCTATAGGTATTTTACTCACATAATCCAACTTTGGCATGACGGCTCTGCATCCTCCCATCTTAAATTTAAACAGGTTGATTATCTCCTCCGGATGTCCCAGTGATTTCAGGATGTCCATGATGTCTCAGCTTTTAGCTATTTTGACAGACTGGTGAGTAATGTCAGGGAGATGCTCTCCATCGGCGCTGTAGTCGCTGGGATTGAACTGTCCAAACACCACCATTAAGAGAATGATGTTTTCCGTTTCACACGCGTCATATCGACTGACTCCAACGATTGGCTGGCTGGTCATGGGTTTAGAGCGCAAGGGCCAATGGGTGATCAGAGCGTCTGGCGTGATGCCCCGCCCTCAAAAAGTGTCATCTCAGCGCACCTTTTGATAGGCGCTTTCACCATACGAGCGAGAGAAGAACAGCTCTATTAAATGATAAATCCCCGGAAGTAAAAAATAGTTATGGCAAGCCATTAAAGAAAATAAACAATCCCCTACTTTTTTTTTTTTTTTTACATTTGTAATAATATAACTATTACGAGTGACATAACTAGTATAAAGAATTGAATGCATTAAATGTATTCATTAATTTAGGGTGTCCATTCTAACAGCTTAGGCAAACAGTATGATGTTTTTGTTACAATGTAAGTTATGCTGTATAGAAATGTTGGGAAATTAATGACACAACATCTGGTTCAGCAAATAGATAATTATTAACCACGTGTGTTAATTTTTAATTTTGTTTTAATGTATTAACTTCAAAACAGAGACTATGTTTTGTTTTGCTTTTGTTCCCCTAATGTATGTGTGAAGTTTTAGAAAGTTGCTTTCCTGCATTTATATTACAGATATCTATATTTATTCTTTCTTTGCTAAAAAGAATGATTTTCGGATAGCATTTTTAGTATAGAAAGCTGCTTTGGGACAAAATTAATTAATTCCCTAAAATATTAGTTTTAATTCATAAAATTCAAAATATTGACACCTAAAATCACATTTATACAAGTTTATTTCAATTAATATGTAATGTCTGTCTTTTTTTCTGACTTATTTATGTAAAAATAAAAACATTTAAGCAGTAGTCTAAAATATTTGTGCGCATATTTGTTATTAATTTATGGCTGATCATTTTTAATTCTGTTTAATGTGTTTGACATCAGTAATACCTTCTAAAAAAAAACGCAAATGTTCAGCCGTTTTGGGGACCAAGATATGTATTCGTTGTCAGAGTAAAATAGCACCAGTTGTTAGGATTGTTGTTGGTAGAATAGCATCTCTGAATGGTCGCCTGAATCAGGTAAAGCAGGAGTAGATCACTCCAGGAACCACACACCTGTTAGGTAAGAACAGGAAACTAAGACGGCAGTTCGTATAGGCTCACCTAAATTTAGTGACAAAGAAAAAGAAAACCTTTCACAGGCTGAGGGGTATCAATGTCAGCTTCAAAATTCTGATTGTAGTGTGAGGCTAGGTATCAACAACATAAAAACATGACCCCTTCCTATCTTACAGAAACAGTTCTGGTGGTTTAATGCTGGACAACATAATTTATTTACTTCATACTCCTCATTGGCAACTTCGAACTTACCTGTACCCGATCATTTTTGCAGGGCATTTCCATCACCTAGGTATAGTGGCTGAGGGCTGTAAATGTACTACAAATGAATAGAAGTGCAGAATGTACAAAAATACTGCCAAAACAAAAATGAGGCTTAAAAACATGCAAATGAGACCAGGGGATTTCCTGAAAACTCAACATTTTCTAAACCTGAAATGAATGAAAGTTTGAGTTTACCGTTTTATGAGAGTTTACTTTCATGAGAGTACATTTTTTTCTATATATAAAAACTATTTATGTTCTAAGAATGTGTTTATTTAAGAGGGATTGTGCAAATTAACAGACACCTAGAAAAAGTACACTATATTATATTATTTTCTATGTGAATCCCAGATTGTTCATTCATCTTTGCCTTTTCTAAAAAGTGCTGTAAATCAGTCCTACCTGTCTTAATCCATGCTAGGTCAGATCCTAACGTTTGAAAAAGGTTGCCATAATCTCTACCACACTGCCTGACTGACTACAAGCTACATCACTTATGTCACTGTAGCAGGGCGAAAATTCCAGGAGCTACAAAGCCATTCATTTTGACTATGCTGATTGACAAGGCAAGGCAAGGCAAATTTATTTGTATAGCACAATTCAGTACAAAGACAATGCAAAGTGCTTTACATGATTAAAATATAGGAAAATAAAACAGAATCAAAGCAAGTAGGAAAAAAAAAATCAGAAACAAAGAAAGAAGATTAAAAAGACTTTTTACAAAAT